CATGGAAAGTGAATCTTCTTACTTCTGTGCAGCCTGAGGTTTACCAACTTCAGCCAGCATATATGCATATATGACTTTATATGGCTGAAACGGTAGCAGGATATACTGAGAGTTTCCCAGCGTCTTCGAGTATTCATATAACTCGGTTCTCTGCTCATGCAAAGATCAAACAACAAAATCAAGAAAATATTAAACAAGCAACATAAGAATGCTGACCTCCATGATTTTCGTTGGAGTACCAATGCAACACATATTTGAGGAACGTGGAGGGTATTTACGACATGCTCAAAACAGAATCTTCCGGCTAGTATGATACCAACTAAAACCACAGTGATAAAACTTCACCTGTATAGCCTCTGGACTTGCGTATGTTCGAGGATATTTCCAATGGTCCGCTCCGACAAGACAGAGTCTGGCACTATCTGAGTATGGATCAAAGTTCTTATCCGCAATTAAATAGCAAATATGCGCCGCAATTATCTGTTTCGCGACAGTAGTTCAAATGTCAAGATTAAAAGTCTTCCATGACGTAAAACAATACTTCAAGGCAGAGAACTACCTCGCCCCTTTCTTTCCACATGCAGTCTCCGAGATGAGTAATCACAAGTTCATCATCTGTGGTCCTGTTAGCAGTTATTACACCCAAATTTTCTTCCCAATTGTCAAGCATGCTACTACTTCCAAAATGCTATTCAAGGAAACAAAAAGATACTATTAGCAAACTCCCCATGGCAGAGCTGTAGAAAGAGTTACCATTGCAATCTTTTTCTCTGCATTTTCTGTTAACGTCACTAATCTATCACATTGTCTGACTGGGAAGACATAGATGGTTTATGCATTACCTGGGGCTGCTGTTGAGGCGCATTTATGGAACCAGGAAAACAGATATCGCTTGTACTTCCATTGGAGAACACTTCAGCTGGTTGCCCTGCAACAAGCAGGCACAATGTCCGTAAAGGTGACCCGGGCACGAGCTGGTGAAGGGCCATTTGTTTCACAGTCTCCACATAGAACTGCACCAATTTAAGATACCGACCAAGTCAGTTAAATAACCACAAGGTGGAATGTCTAGATCTATAGTAATCAAGGGAAATGAACCTGTTGCCCAAGTTGTGCCGCGATAACAAGCGCTGGTCCCCACAAATGACCTTCTTGCGCACATTGGAGAGCCTCCATTTTCCTACCAGAAGCCAGAAGATTCTGCACCTCTGAAGCAGTTACCTGGGAGATTCTTCCAAATGAGTTAATAAGCAAAATTAAATCTGTCGATAATTTTAGAGCCTTTTTCCTCGAAAGAGATATATGAGATATGATGTCCAATACTCACTTGCATTTGTGATTCAGGTGGTAAATGCTGTAAGCATTGGCTAATAGGAGCATAACAACCATTTTGTACGCTATCTTTCTTGGCAAATGCAAAAAGCTTAGCGATTGCTGCTTCGGCAGAATCTGTTTCCTGTTTGTCGTGTAGATACAAGGATGAGAAGATTGTAATACATATCAATGTTTCCTTAAGAGGCAAACTAAAAAGAGATCTCCAGAGTTGCACACCTTTTGCGTTGCATCAGTTCCAAAAGGAGACCGGAGTTTCCCATAATACTGACAAGATATTCTGAGCAAAGAAAGAAGCATCTTTAAAAGTTTCCCTCTTGAAAAGTCCATATTGGAAGATTCACAATTCACAATTCTCTCATCAAGCCACTTATGCAAGTCTTTACTTGCAACATTTCCTCCAACCAAGGGACCTGGAAGAGATTGTTCATTCAGACAACTGAAGTAACTCAAAGAGTTTTCCCCAGAACTTGAATAAGAGGCTCTCCCAGAAATAACTTCTGCCAAGTTTAAGAGAGACATATAGCTTCCCCCAATTCCCTTCTGAGTATGATAGAAAAAGGTTAGCAGTGAAAACGTATATACAATTCACTCTACGAAGTTATAAACGGAAAATATATTTCATACATGTTCTATGATAAGCGTGATAGTTTCCAAGAGTGTATAATAAACAAATGAAAAGTACCACTTCGGGTCTAACCTGACTCCCAAATGATGAATTCTGGAGAGAACCACTATTATCCTTCATAACAATGAGTTTTCCACCGAATCCAAAATTGACAAGAGCATGTGGTGGACGCCCATCAGGTGATCTTCCAGTACTTGGCGAGAAAAGCTGATTGCTCTGAATTGACTGTTGAGCATCATCTACAGATCTCTGTCTATTATAGAAATCGTTCGAGAAACTCGAAGGGCCGTTCTGCGTGACACTAGCCACATTCATATGATGAGGGACGAAGCTCTGAACTCCGATCTCATTTGTCTTAAACTGTTCAGCCACAGGTCCTGTGCTGTACACATTATTTACTTGCTGGTTTCCTCCGAAGTTTGGTAATGAGGCAGAAGTTACAGCCGCCTCACCCTTGCCTGCATTTTCTGGTTGCCACGTGTTTGTAGCCTGGTGATTGTTGGCATAGTAAGATTGGTCCCAACTCCCGTGGTTGCTCTGAACACCAAAGTCTTGTGCTTTGAATGTCTCTTTGTTATCGTTAACATCATACATGCTGTTCTCGCCATTACTGTGATACGTAGCTGTAAAAGCATGGCCATTCTGAACTTGCAGATCATGAGCTTGACCGGTCTCAGTTGTTTGAGAAGACTGGTTGTAGCTGTCGAGGGAGCGCCATTCTTGAGCAATTGTGTCGTAGTACCACCCTGGATACTGCGGGTCAAAGACCATGTGTTCTGGATATCCATTGCCCACTTGTGAAACCTGGTTCCAAGTAGACACACTCTCAGCTGTTCCAGCCACTGCAGATGTTGTGCTCTGGCTCTGGTAAGCAACCTCCGAGTTATCAGTAGAAGCAACGCCTTCCCAGTTACTCGTTGAGTTTATATAGCTCTCTTGTGAATTCATGCTTGCATCAACTTGATACCATTGGCCAGTATTCGCATCATACTTCCATCCAGGATAGAGATTTTCCCAAGATTGACTGTTATCCACGTACTGCCCACTTGCAGAATCGTGATTCACTTCACCCTGATGTTGCTCGAAAACTGCAGAATTATTGAAACCAACGGTTGTGTTCTTGTTTTCATTGGATACTAAGTTGCCTCCAGCGACCACATCTACCTCCGCCTTTCCTTGTGAATGTCCTCCAGTTCCCTCCAACCCACTGAAGAAATCAGAGTATGAACCAAACCCACGAGCGTCATTTGCTGATAAATCCGCATCAAACGAACCCCAATCAACCACCTTAACCCCAGCAACCCCAGGCTCATTAACAATCTTGCTTTCTCTTGCTGTCTCAGATAGTGGCATATCACCCACCTCTGTTCTCAGTTCATCGTCTCTTAGTTTATTTGCATCACTGTGGGGAAATGGGTCAGCTTCCAAAGCAATAATTGATGAAGGCTCTTCTTTTTCCAGCGAACCACTTGAACCCTCGTTTGCAACATCGTTCCCCGGGTCTGCTTCATTCAATGTCCCATCGACATCACCCACAGAACCATTAACAACGGAGAGATTTGAAAACGCTCTGGCGTCATCGGAGTCACTCCCGTAGTCGAATTTCAGCTGCGTCGCAGAGGATGAAGCCTGAGCTTCGCTGGGAGAGAAGGAATCATCAACGAGTTTGTCGAAGAAGTCCTCGTCCGTTTGATCCTCCAGAAGGAACTGAGAAGCCGAAGCCATCAACCGACAAAACAAGAGATCAAAATCGGAACAGAAATAGCCTTTACCTAAACTCCAACAGAATCACTTCCAGAGATGGAATGCTTTTGCTCGATTCACGAAATGATCAAATGCCAAAAGAAAGTAATTTCTATGGAACACAGCAGCGATCAAGTGGAGCATGATGCCATAGACTCCGATCCAAAGTCTGCAAAGGGTTCCTCCGTGAATTCTCCGATCCGCCCATATTTGCTACTTTCCATTAACATTTACGTCTAATTTACGCCCCTTTCTATCTCAACCTTCGGTATCATTTCTCACCAAACTGCTCCCGCAAAACAAGTGTTCGATATATGATTCGAATTATATCTAGCTATTGACATTTCTATACGCAATCGAGCATGGTGGGCCGATCTGTCTGAAGAGATCGTCAAATGCTAAGATCTGTGTTTAAGAAACTTACAGATTTTCCGGACATCTCGAATCTACTCAACGAATGGGACAAACCAGGAGCGTCTCCGGAGACAATGGCAACGTTTCTTTGTGCCGACAGCTTCAAGGCTTATATATCATGAAATGTACGTTTGTCTCGAATACGGTTTGATTCTCAATTACTTGTTTGAGATTGTACAAGAGAGAATCAACTCGCTGGAAGATGCTCACAACGTGTTTGATGAAATTCCTGATCCAGATGTCATCTCTCGTAACTTATTTGATTTCTGGCTTTTACGTTGGAGGAGGAAGAGGACTGACTCTGTTTGTTTCTCTAAAGCTCCCCCCCACAGATCTGATGAATCCAACGGTAGGCATTGGATCGCTCCCTCCTCCAGATGCTTAACCAACCGGTTCATCCGTTAATTAATTATCGGTCGATCGGGGGACAACGGAAAGGGAAATAATTTATATTTTAATAGTAGTTACACAACCCGAATTATCGGCCCAATGATTAATGGCCAGCCCGTATAAAACAAAAACCAAATGAATAGGCACGTGCGTGTCGATACCAGCGGTTTTTTCTTAAAAAATCCGTATTTCCGGTCCAAAAGCGAGCGTAGTTTCGGACACAATGTTTTTCTTTTCGCGGTGGGATAACAAATAATCGAATCAAACCGAACCGTACAAAATAAAAAAATTCAAACTGTAACAAAACCAACTTTTTTTTAAACGTTTGATGACAAAACTAACCTCGAACTTTTTAGTACAATATACCGGATCACATAAACTAATGACTTGATTAAACCGGATGGCTCAAACCTGTTTTCCCAAAATCCAAAAATCAGACCGAAAAAATAAAAGACTAATCTTTCTTGATGCCTATGATGAACACGTTTAGGTTTGGCTTGATACTTGATAATAAAAGAATTGGTCAACAAACTTGATTAAGAAGATCCCTACTACTGAACAAAACATTACTGTGTGTATTATTGTATAACTACTGAAGTCTGTTAAAAAAAAAAAGGAAAAAATAATGAATTTATAATTATAAGAAAAACAAACAATACAAACTGCATACATATTGCCCCTATCTTTGACTGAAGCGGAGTCTCTTTTATGTATTGGGTAACTCATGGATTAACATTTGATTGGGACTACCTGTGAGACAGTGAGCAAAACTTTTTTGATATTACAGATTTCAACTTACAGTTCCACTTCCTGGAGCTCCTCTCCTAAGCTGCTGCTGCTACTGTTGAGTGGGCTTGGTTTGAATGTTGATGGACCCGTTGGAGATGTAAACGAGCTATTAAAACTTCCGCTCCATGAAGCTGTTCTTCTTGAACCTGAAGGAGGAAGATCACCATTAAGACTTGTTCCTGATCCACTTCTTTTGATGTTATCCAGACTTGGAAATCTCTGCATCGTCATTGGAGATGCTGCCGGAGACTGGAACGAAGACTGGCTTGGTGGTGGTGGTGGAGCCCCTGCAGAGGCGGCTGCTTCTTCTGCTGAGTACTCCTCCTGTCTGGTTTCAGCAGCAGCCGGTTCTGTTACCTCGTCGTTTGAAGACGATGCAGGTGCTGCTGGGATGAAGAATTTTGCTTTTGCAGGGATTGGTGGTTTGGCAGATTGTGCAGGAGGTGACCGATACATTGTCTGAGAGTTTCCACGGCCTTGATTAAAAGTGTCAACGTATCTGCACCAAAAGAGAGTTACAAATTATTAACTCTAAAGCATGTACATTATCTACTAACAAGGCAACATGTGATTCCCGTGCATGCAGGAGCTTTTCTGATAACCTATCATACTTGCGACTATGGACAAATTATAGCTAAGAGTTGGACGACCGGCAATTACAGTCAAGAAATTTATTGCCTATCTCACAGTGAAAGCTTCATCTTTTATACCTTCGGCTTGCCATTCTAATGTGGTACTACAATTTCACTAATCATTTATGATCCAGGATCGTCTACACAGATTATTATTCTCAAGAGTCTCAAATTGGTATGTTTACCTTGGACGCCCACCCATACGTCCACGAGCAGAGAATTGATTCGAGCTCTGTGAGACTGGTGGGATTCCCGAAGAATTCTCTGACGGAGATGGGCTGCCACTGCTCCAGCTCCCACTAGACGGAGACATCTCGTTCTGCATGTCAGATTTGTTTTCATAACCCAATGAGTTGTTTTGGTACGTGCCTAATGTTGGAGGAGGAGGCAGTGCAGCTTCCTCAGCTGGGGGTTCCACACCTTTCTCCACCCATCTCTTTAGTTTCTCGTCATAGTAGAATTGATTCTCCTCACCCAGTTTTGCCTTCATCCAAAGCATGACCCAAACGTTAGAATAAGCTCAAGAAAACATCATCACAACCTAAACATTTAGCAAGGTGCACCTCGTTAGATGACCGAGATTGTAAGACCCTCCCTACGGTGTTCTTCAGTATGCCCATACCAAAGCGGCTAAACCGAGAACTTGTCACATTTCTAGTTGATTTGACCTGTGTCACCCCATCAGTAGCTTTGTCTTTTGAGGAGTCAGGCTGATCCTATCAGAAAAAAGGTAAACCTTTAAGCAGTAAGCAAATGTTTTTTCTAAACCGGCCCATAAATTTATCCGAGGGTATGCTTGCTGAATAATGCATGCTAAGTATCTACTTACCCTCAGGATAGCACTACTGCAAACCAGACATCTGACGCCGATTAAAAAAGAAAAATAAAAGAAATGATTTTCAAGTGATGTTGACCTGTATTGGCGTTCTACCGAAATCTGGCTCTGAGACACTTCTAGAATGTACTGCCATCGTCCTCCCGTTCCCACCCCACTCATGAATCGGTTCCATTGAAGTAGATGGCATCAACGATTGCATTGTGTTAGCCGATTGACTATATGGTAACTTAGTGGCTTCCTGTTGTTGATGATGATACTCATTCACCTGTAGGTTTCCTGTTGCTGAATGTGGTGCAGGTGGTGGCATGCCCCCAACAACACGATGTGCAGTACTATCAATAAAGCTTAGCAGGCCTCTAACAAGTTTTGCTGGGGCCAAATTCACAGTATACCCACTCTGAAATAGGAACGTCCGGTTAAGTTGGATCTTTAAGTAAAATTATATTGGGACTAGAAGACTAGAAGTTGTGTGGGCTGTACCTGTAGGTGGATACGGATTCTCTCTTCAAGTGACAAAACAATCTGTTTCCACATTTCCACTTCAGGTGATCGGCCAGTCTTGAGGCATTTTAATACTGCTTGACAGTACCTGATCCAGACACAGTACAACAATATCAAGAAGCCATATACAGTCTAACCAAGGAGTATATCATGGAAAGTGAATCTTCTTACTTCTGTGCAGCCTGAGGTTTACCAACTTCAGCCAGCATATGTGCATATATGACTTTATATGGCTGAAACGGTAGCAGGATATACTGAGAGTTTCCCAGCGTCTTAGAGTATTCATATAACTCGGTTCTCTGCCCACGCAAAGTTCAACCACCAAATAAGGAAAATATAAAAATATATTGAGGAACTAAAACCACAGTGATCTAAAATGACCTGTATCGCCTCTGGACTTGCATAAGTTCTAGGATATTTCCAATGATCAGCTCCAACAAGGCAGAGCCTGGCACTATCTGAGTATGGATCAAAGTTCTTATCCGCGATTAAATAGCAAATGTGGGCCGCAATTATCTGATTCATAACAGTAGTTCAAATGTCATGATAGAGTCTTCCATGAAGTAAAAGAAAACAATAAGGTAGAGAACCACCTCGCCCCTTTCTTTCCACATGCAATCTCCAAGATGAGTAATCACAAGTTCATCATCTGTGGTTCTGTTAGCAGTTATTATACCCAAATTCTCTTCCCAATTGTCAAGCATGCTACTACTTCCAAGCTGCAATTCAAAGAAACAAAGAGACACTATTAGCAAACTTTCCCTAGCAACCAGAGCTGCAGGACGAAACTATGTCCTTTGGAATGGAAGAGTGAACTAGTTCCCTCATCCCTGTTGTAGAGAAAATATCTCGTCTTGCAGTGTATTTCCACCATCTATACAGTTCCCGACTTTAATCATGGTAATTGATATTTAGCAACGATTCGGTGGAGATAGATTTAGTATCTTAATCATGAGAAAACTAACAAGTTATGATTTGGATTTTGGAGTGTGAGTATTTTGAAGAGCAGTAGGTGCCATATCGGATTCTTCCGAGGAACAAGAGGGTTGGATGCCTCTTGGTGGTGAATACTTAATATTCCTCAGTAAGGAGTTTTTATTTCCTTTTGGGGAGTTTACCATTGTAATCTCTAAAAATTATATCAGCGGGTCTCTAAGCTTTTTCTTTACTCCTTAATCTATCACATTGTCTGACGAAGAAAAAAAGAAAAGACATGGTTACTGTATTACCTGGGATTGGTGTTGAGGCACACTTACGGAACCAGGAAAACTCATATCGCTTGTACTGCCATTGGAGAACACTTCCGCTGGCTGCCCTGCAACCAGCAAGCACAATGTACGCAGAGGTGACCCGGGTACCAGCTGGCGAAGGGCCATTTGTTTCACAGTGTCAGCATAGAACTGCATCAATTTAAGATATCGACCAAGTCAGTCAAACAACCACAAGAGTGGCAGGCCTAGATCTATAGTAATCAAGGGAAACGAACCTGGTCTCCAAGCTGTGCCGCGATAACAAGCGCTGGTCCCCATAAATGACCTTCTTGCGCACATTGGAGAGCCTCCATTTTCCTACCAGAAGCCAGAAGATTCTGCACCTCTGAAGCAGTTACCTGGGAAATTCTTCCAAGTGAATTCATAAGCAAAAACAAAACAATCGACTATTTTCAAAACTTTTTCCTCGAAAGAGAAAATGGGATAAGATGTCGAATACACACATGCATTTGGGATTCAGGTGGTAATTGTTGTAAGCATTGGCTAAAAGGAGTATAACCACCATTTTGGAAGCCATCTTTCTTGGCAGCTGCAAAAAGTTTAGCGACTGCTGCTTCCGCAGAATCCGTTTCCTGTTTGCAGAATAGATACAATGATGAGAAAACTGTAATACGTATAAATGTTTCTTTAAGACGCGTACTGAAAAGAAATTTCCATAACTGCTACCTTTTGCGTTGCATCAGTTCCAAAAGGAGACCGGAGTTTCCCATAATACTGACAAGATATTCTGAGCAAAGAAAGAAGCATCTTTAAAAGTTTCCCTCTTGAAAAGTCCATATCGGAGGATTCACAATTCACAATTCTCTGATCAAGCCACTTATGCAAGTCTTTACTTGCAACATTTCCTCCAACCAAGGGACCTGGAAGAGATTGTTTATCCAGACAACTGAAGTAACTCATAGAGTTTTGCCCAGGACCTGAATAAGAGGCACTCCCAGGAATAACATCAAGCAAGTTTAAGAGAGAGATACAGCCTCCACCAATCGCCTTCTGAGTAAGATAGATAAAGGTTAGCAGTGAAAACAGATTTACAAGTTACATTATGAGATAATAAATGGAGAATATATTTCATACATGTTCTCTGATAAGCATACTATTATATATATACACACAAAGACGTGATTGTTTTCACTTTTCATAAACTTCCAAGAGTGTAATTAACAAATGAAAAGTACCACTACGGGTCTAACCTGACTCCCAAATGATGAATTCTGGAGAGAACCACTATTATCCTTCATAACAATGAGCTTTCCGCCAAATCCAAAATTGACAAGAGCATGTGGTGGACGCCCATCAGGTGATCTTCCTGTACTTGGCGAGAAAAGCTGATTGCTCTGAAATGACTGTTGAGCAACATCTACAGATTTCTGTCTATTATAGAAATCGTTCGAGAAGCTCGAAGGACCATTCTGCGTGACACTAGCCACATTCATATGATGAGGGACGAAGCTCTGAACTCCGATCTCATTTGTCTTAAACTGTTCAGCCACATGTCCTGTACTGTACACATTATTTACTTGCTGGTTTCCCCCGAAGTTTGGTAATGAGGCAGAAGTTACAGCCGCCTCACCCTTGCCTGCATTTTCTGGTTGCCACGTGTTTGTAGCCTGGTGATTGTTGGCATAGTAAGATTGGTCCCAACTCCCGTGGTTGCTCTGAACACCAAAGTCTTGTGCTTTGAATGCCTCTTTGTTATCGTTAACATCATACATGCTGTTCTCGCCATTACTGTGATACGTAGCTGTAAAAGCATGGCCATTCTGAACTTGCTGATCATGAGCTTGACCAGTCCCAGTTGTTTGAGAAGACTGGTTGTAGCTGTCGAGGGAGCGCCATTCTTGAGCAATCGTGTCGTAGTACCACCCTGGATACTGCGGGTCAAAGACCATGTGTTCTGGATATCCATTGCCCATTTGTGAAACCTGGTTCCAAGTGGACACACTCTCAGCTGTTCCAGCCACTGCAGATGTTTTACTCTGGCTCAGGTAAGCAACCTCCGAGTTATCAGTAGAAGCAACGCTTTCCCAGTTATCCGTTGAGTTTATATAGCTCTCCTGTGAATTTATGCTTGCATCAACTTGATACCACTGGCCAGTACTTGCATCCAATTTCCATCCAGGATAGAGATTTTCCCAAGATTGACTGTTATCAACGTACTGCCCACTTGCAGAATCGTGATGCACTTCACCCTGATGTTGCTCGAAACCTGCCGAATTATTAACACCGGCGGTTGTGTTCTTTGTATCATTGGATACTAAGTCTCCTCCAGCGACCACATCTACCTCCGCCTTCCCTTGTAAATGTCCTGTAGATTCCTCCAACCCACTGAAGAAATCAGAATATGAACCAAACCCACGACCGTCATTTGCAGATGAATCCGCATAGAATGAGCCCCAATCAACCTCCTTAACCCCAGGACTCCCAGATCCATCGATTGTATTGCTTTCTATTGCTGTTTCAGATAGTGGCTTATCTTCCACCTCCGATCTCAGCACATCATCACTTAACTTATTTGCATCACTGTGGACAAATTGGACAGCTTCCGGAGCAATAGATGAAGGCTCTTCTTTTGCCACAAAATTACTTAGACCCTCGTTTGCAACATCGTTCCCCGGGACTGTGGCTCCATTCAACGTCCCATCTCCATTACCCGCAGAATCGTCAGCGACGGAGAGATTCGCAAACGCTCTGGCGTCATCGGAGTCACTTCCGTCGTCGAATTTCAGCTGTTTAGCCGAAGATGAAGCGTGAGCTTCGCTGGGAGAATATGCATCATCAACAAGTTTGTCGAAGAAATCCTCGTCCGTTTGATCATCCAGCAGGAAATCAGCAGTCGAAGCCATCAATTGAAAACGATATTGAAATCAGGATCAAAACCCTAACCTAAAACCCCCACAAAATCTCCGCGAGAGATCGACGGATCTGCAAGCTTCGCGAAAGGATCAATTGCAAAACGAAGTAGATTTATAGAAGATGAAAGATTAAATGGAGCAAAGTGCCATATACAGATCGAAATTCCACAAAGGATTCTCGGTGAATTGCCGATCCAATCTCCGATCGAAACTCCGATTAGTCGGTGAAATCTTCAAGATCGAACGAGAGAGAGAGTCTCTTTGATTTTTTTCTTTTTTGCATTCCCTTTTTCCGAATTTACCCTTATATGTATTGTTTGACTATGAACATCCCACAAGAGTGATAGTCTGTCATAGAGACGATTATGAAGCCCAAATCAACCCAAATTTGTTTATTTTGGTAACGTCAGCACCATTTGACCCCATCATATGAAAAGAAAAAAACATTTTCCTTTTTCTTTGGCTTTATACAAAAAAAAATCAACACTAAACTCAAATTAATCTTTGTATTTCAACAGTAACGAACTAAATCTCTCTTAATATCTTTAGTTATGGTTTAAAGCGATCCGCTTGTAATACTTTGTGGACATTTGTGGTATACCTAATGAAAAAATATTTGCATAATATATTGTAATTCGATATGATTTGTGACTTCATCGATCTTCTATCAATGCTCTGCGAGGAAAAAAATCAATACAAAACGGGAAAAAATATAGATTTCCATTTTCTCCGTTTAAAATGTCGAATAGAAACCCTAAATATAGTGACTAAAAAAGCTCAATATATTCAATCTCAGGACCATTTTTGTATATAAACAAGACGAAGAAGAAGAAAAAACGAACAAAACAAGAATCAAGACAAAAGAGGCTTCTTAGCGTCGAACTCACTCTCAAAACCCTCAATTAGTGAGAATCCTTCTTTGCCTTTAGCCCATAACACAAGGTACAGTCCTATGAACATCAACGCCATCCCTCCCACACTGCATTTTTTGATTTTGTTAATCATTCTCGTGGTTAGAACTAATAACCAAACATGAGTTATTATTAATCACTAAACACAACATCGTTACCATAAGAGTTGTAACAAAGTTTACCTTCCAAGGCTAATGGACTCTCCTAATGTAAAAACGGAGAACGCAACCGAAACAACGGTAGCGAAAGGACTAAACATTGAAACAAAAACCGGTCCACGTTTCTTCATCGCCCATCCATTAAAGCTAACACATGCTCCACTCACCATCCCTCCCTGCCATTTCAAAAAAAAACTATATGCTATAAACCATAAACCATTTTTTTTTTAATTTTATATGTATATGAAAGATTTACCAGAAGAGAAAACCCAACGAGGTTCCCGATACTAATTAATGATCTGGTAAGTACTCTTGCGTTCTGGTTTTGCAATAATTGTACCAACGTTGTTATCACCACTCCGATCAATGCCGTTATCGCACTTAACGAAATCGGAGCCGGAAACTCAGCCAACGTCGAAGCCTGCAATAACCGAGTTTTTAGACCTTCATCATGGAAGCTAAACCGAACCGGTTATGAAGAAGCGGTTCACTTACTTGAAGAACGACGTTGGTTGATAAGACAAAGACAGCTCCGAGAAGGTACATACATCCCACGACTCTGTCACGATCAAACTCGAATACTGGAGCATTGTGTTCTTCGTCATGTCTGATCGAAGCGCTGTGCATTAAACTCATTGTTAAAGCGCCGAACACGCACAACAATGTCCCTAAGATCTTCAGTTTGCTGTACACACATCTTATATTCATCTTCTCTAACCTATCCAAAAAAATGATCAGTACATAGACGCAACAATTAATGCATTGTCAGAAACACATGAAAAGTTACAAGGATTTGATGGTTTCACCTAACGATCCAAGCGATGAAGAAAATGAGACCAGGAGCGAGATTAGGCATCGCTGTGGCCATTGCTGGTGATGTCAACCTGATTCCTTCTAGAAACAGAGACTGGAACAGAGTAACCCTGTTTTTTTTTTGTTTCAATACAAGGGAAAAAGAAATTTCAACAAAGTTTCATACATTTTCAACAAAACAAAGTGATGGAGGATGCTACTTACCCTGCAAAGGAGATCAAAACTAGCTTACCAATGAGCCTCGAGCTAAAATCCTTTGGCCATTGCTTCCTTTAGAACAACAAGACCAAAAGAAAACAAAACATTTACTGTCTGAAGAGAAAAAGAGGGTTTGTTTTCTTTTTTGGCATGTCAAAGAAGTTATCAGACAGACCTTTCGAAAAGGACGGCGAAAGGGGAGAGGATTAAGAAAGTGGCGAAGGTAGAGAAGATGACAATGGTGAAAGGGCCGAGACCAAGTGACATCAAATAACTCATGAGCAAAGAGTTTCCTGCGTATACAAATTGAACAATGACTAAACCTCCTACTATCACCACCTCTTCTATCATGTCCTTCTTCATCTTCTCCTCTTGGAGATTGAGCACCGATTGTTAGAATTCTACGGAAAAAAAACTGCATCACAGAAAATCAATTATAAGCAATATATGTATTTAGATTAGATTGCAAATAGATGACCATGGGAACAAATTTGATACTCTTTCTCCTTTACCTTCATTCAGAAAATATATCTGAAATCACCATTTTTCTTCCTCTCTGTCTCTCTCTCTCCTTTACTCTCTCATTATATTCCTCCAATATTTCTTCTGTCAGAAAACAGACCCTCCATTGTTATTCCACCTATATTTGCTACTTTCCAAATAACTTTTATGTCTATTTTAAGCCGTTTTTATCCAAACCTTCAATCTCACCAAACTGCTCTGCAATCTTCCCCAAAATAATTTCTTATTCTTTTTTCTTGGAAGGTTTACCAAAAAATGGAATTTTGATTATATACATATCATGTGTCCATCTGTTTAAAAGGGTACAAATCAAATGCTAAGATTCGTGTCGAACAAACTTACAGTTTTCGCCACATCTCGTGTCTACTCGACAAGGATCTATGTTGGTTCCACTGCCTCTTCAAACTCATGGACCACCGTCATTCCTGCTCTGGCTCAGTCCGGTTTGATCGACGCATTACACGCTGCTGTTGATTTGCTCAATGACGGCGACAAGCCAGACGATGCTTCTCCGCTGGCTCACTTGCTCCGCGTCTCCGGAAACCATGGCTACGTTTCTCTGTGCAGGCAGCTTCATGGCTACGTCGTAAAACATGGGTTTGTCTCAAATACGCGTCTTTCGAATTCGCTGATGAGATTTTACAAGACAAGCGACTCGCTGGAAGATGCTCACAAACTGTTCGATGAAATGACTGACCCAGATGTCATCTCTTGGAACTCATTGGTTTCTGGTTACGTTCAATCGGGAAGGTTCCAGGAAGGACTCTGTTTGTTTCTCGACCTTCACAGATCTGACGCCTTCCCCAACGAATTCTCTTTTACATCCGCCTTAACTGCTTGTGCACGATTGCAAATCTCGTGGCTTGGAGCTTGCGTTCACTCAAAGATTGTGAAACTTGGCATAGAGAAAGGCAATGTCGTAGTTGGTAATTGTCTAATCGACATGTACGGGAAATGTGGTTCCATGGATGATGCAGTTTTGGTGTTCCAAGACATGGAAGAAAAGGATACAGTTTCTTGGAATGCCATTGTAGCTTCCTGCTCAAGGAACGGTAAGCTGGAGCTGGGACTTTGGTTTTTCCATCAGATGCCAAATCCAGACACTGTAACCTACAACGAGCTTATCGATGCTTTCGTCAAGTCCGGGGATTTTAGCAATGCCTTTCAGATTCTATCGAGTATGCCAAACCCTAATTCATCTTCATGGAACACAATACTGACAGGCTATGTCAACGGTGATCAATTTGGAGAAGCTACTGAGTTTTTCACCAAAATGCATTCGTCAGGCGTCAGATTCGACGAGTACAGTTTGTCAATAGTTCTGGACGCCATTGCTTCTCTCGCTGTGGTTCCATGGGGAAGTCTCGTCCATTCTTGTGCTCTCAAGCTTGGCCTAGACTCTCGAGTTGTTGTCGCAAGTGCTCTGATAGATATGTATTCCAAATGTGGATTGTTGACGCAGGCTGAGCTGATGTTTTGGACGATGCCTAGAAAGAATCTGATTGCTTGGAACGCGATGATCGCTGGTTATGCTCGTAATGGCGATTCAACCGAGGCAATCAAGCTCTTTAACCAATTGAAACAAGAGAGATACTTGAAACCTGATCGGTTCACATTCTTGAATCTATTAGCTGTGTGTTCTCATTGCGAAGTTCCAATGGAGCTCACGCTTGGTTTCTTTGAGATGATGATAAACGAGTATTCGATCAAACCAAGTGTAGAGCATTGTTGTTCTCTTATCAGAGCTATGGCGCAGAGAGGAGAGGTTTGGCAAGCGAAAAAGGTGATTCATGAATTCGGTTTTGGGTTTGATGGTGTGGCTTGGAGGGCGTTGCTTGGTGCTTGTAGTGCTGGAAAAGATCTGAAAGCTGCAAAAGCCGTCGCCGCTAAGATCGTTGCGTTAGGGGAAGCCGATGAAGATGAGTACCTATATATAGCGATGTCGAATCTTTATGCTTACCATGAGAGATGGAGAGAAGTTAGTCAAATTAGGAAGACAATGAGAGAGAAAGGCGTGGAGAAAGAAGTTGGCTCTAGCTGGATTCAAGAGCAGAATGTTGCAATACAACGTTAGTAGATTTTGAGTTTTGAGCTTTTGGTTATGTAAACACAATGTCAAACTAGTTACGAAATCAAACATGGCTATAATCTGAGAGATGAATCGTGTAAAGAGGAGAAATAGTATTACATATTTTTGTATTCATAAAAAGAAAAACAAGAGTTTGGAGTCGCAAACAAAGAATCAACTTCTTGTCTCAAGTTTTAAGAGAAGAAACTTGCCTCCCTTGATAGGAATACTCTTCATGAATGTTATCAGGTCACCTTGGGACGGAAAGGCCCATCTCTAGAATAGTAAACAGAAAGAGAAATAACTATTAGGGCAGATACAGAAAAACTGGTCTTTTATAAAGAACGAAAGGCTGATGCTTTATTGATTCTAAAAGAGTCTTTAAGACAACGTATTGTGAATCAGATGGACAGCGAAATCTAGTCAAGCAATCTTATCTAAATAGCTTCCTAAATCTAAATTATCACAATAGCATTATTGACTTGACAGAGCCCACCTTTAAAAACAACTGCAAATACGTCTCACGTGCCATCGATTCCATCTGGGACAAAGAGCACTTTTACAAATTACTACAGTATTGTTGCCACTATTATACACAGGTCATGAACTAACTCTCCTAGACTGGCATTCATATTAAAACATGCAAGAAACACAAAGTCAATCTGACGCGGCTTAACATTTGGTTTTACTGTATAAGTTACCCACTTCAAATTTCAGTTTTTACAGGGATTTTTCCTAAAACTTGTTTCCCAATATTTTATTTGGATTACTAGAACTCAAAAAAGGTTCGTACTTGATAAAGATGCAAGGATCCCACATGGTAACGGTGAAATTATGTGCCTGCATGAACCAAGTACTCATAATTAGACAGACACAATGGCACTCAAGCTCAAAACTCTTTCACGACTCTAGAAACTGATTTACTCAGCCTATATAAGTTTTACTAGGGTCAATCCTTCTACTTGTTAAGAGTCAATGCAACTATTTCGCCTAGCAAGAAGAGTCATAAAGCCAAGAATTAACGTAAACAGGGAAGAAGCATAGTCATAAAGTAACCATAGAGCTTGCAACACTTCATATAAGCAATCAAACAGTTCATCTACTGATACAATCCTTCTACATCAATCTTAGGAAGCTATGGTTCTTTTCTAAGTTTCACTAACAAAACCGAATGCTAAGACCACAACGTTATACAGCCATGATAATATTAATATGCAAACCATAGATAAGAGTCCCCAACTTTTAATGCGAGCTCAGTCATTAAGTAAGAGCAATCAAGAATTCTAAACACAAAATTGCACACTATAATGACTAAAAAAGAGAAGGATCAAAATGAAGATAAGGAAGCAAAAAAAAGCTACTCACAAGCAAGAAAGCAGAAAAGAGTATTAGAGGTCGGGAGAGGTGCAGCAGAGAGTACCCTGAGAGAGAGCTTGGCTGCTTCTGGAGGTTGTGCTAAGGCACGACGTCAACCGAGCAGCCGCCACCGTGCTGTGAAGCGGTAACAGCGACTGAACACAGCCAAGCTCAGATGGACACCTACATGTAACCACGCAATTCATCAAACAAATCCCTAAAACGAAGAAACAGGGTTAACACTAAAAATAAGAGAAATGACGAAAGTGAAGCAGCAGATTCATGTGATTTGAATCAGAGCATGTATAATTACGCGATTGGTTAAAAGCAGACCTGGAGAAGGAGAATCGGGGAGAAGCAGCGGGTTTAGACGGAATTCGAAATCCGGCGGAGGAAGCAGTCGGCGAAGAACCGGTGCCAATTGGAGATTTGTGGAGCGAAGATCTGATGGCGGATCTGAGAGACGAGACGGAGGATCTGCTCATGAATCTATTACAAGTAGAAGCCATGGTAAGAGATAGACGAAGCCTGAAAAGTGAGATTCGATCGTCTTCTTCTTCCTCTACAGAGGTTTTATAGGGTTTTAGGACGCCGGGGGGATAGAGAAAAGCCGGTAAATAGATACATCACTGTTTTTTGTTGGGTTTGGGAGTACTTGGTAATCCATTAAGCAATAAATGGGCCTTAACCCATTTACTAAAAAGCTACGTCATCTGAAAAATGTTAGTGTGAGACCGAGAGGAACAATTTAATGATCGAAAGTAAGAAAAATCAAGTTTTGTGTCCTGTGGTGCATTTCAAATGACTACGGTGGACTTCTTGTGTATTCTGCATTAGATTTAGTGTTTTTTTTCTTTTCTGTTAACAATCAGCATCCGTGGACAACTTTGGGAAGCGAGTCCTTTTAATGTAATCCATATGTGATATCTACGTTAGATTGATCGATAGTGAAGAGGACGGAAGATAAGAAACAGATTGATCTTGAAATTCTCAATGGTTCAAAGGGCATGTCCTTTATTCAAAACTTGAACCCAGTATTGGACATCATGAGCCAGTGAGTCATTTTACGCTTAAGAATCTGGTTTTGTCTACATGGATGCCAAAAGTTTTCACTTTTCATTAGACAGACACAATGGTTTTGTCTACATGGATGTAAGTATTTTCTGTTGTCATTAGGGAAGGAACGAGCTCATCTCATTGCTAAAGTGCAGATACCAAATCTACATACTCAATATATGTAGTTGAGTAGGTATTGTCATTGTATAGTTTTTTTAGTCTCCCAACCAACTCTATGTACTTTCTAGACTATTTCTTACTCTGCTAAGAGCACAATTTCAAATTTTCAAGACAAGCACAACATTAAAAGTATTGTTTAAGTGTGAAGGATGCTATAATATGACTTAATACATACCGCGGTTATTTCCAGGACGTTTAGTGAAAAGGCGAAGACGAGAAAGAAAAGGCCTTTCCAACATTTTGCCTGTGGAAACTAAAAGTGATAATCAAGAACTTAGTGGAAGAGATACTTGCATATAGATAGTTTTCTAACTTGGTTACGGTATCTGCTCAGGCAAACATACAAAACGACAATAGCAGAGGTTAAACCAGCGTACATCTTTTATCAATGTTCCCATTAATACTAATTTTCATTTTTCTCTTCAGTTTCAACAATTTTCATATTTAAAAAAAAACAAATTAAAACTCTCACGTCATGTCATGTTGTTGAATCTAAGTTATATATTAAATTTTGTATATATATTACGATTTTGCTGGTGATATTAAAACACAAAAACAGAAAATCTGGTTTAGAAAAAAACTTAGGGAGAAACTATATCTTCATTTTGACTGTTGTAATCAACTATAATGAACTATAGTGTAAAGACCTTCAATTTCTAGCAAAATTATAGCAAATGTACATATATATAGTCTCTCAATACAAGATAAACATAAAAAAAAAAAAAATTAGGTTTAACAAACAACAAATGATAAAGTTTGATTTTTGTACTTAAAACATTATTACAATAAAAACAGCTAAAGTTTTCAGAAATAAAGATTCATTTTTTCAAAAATATTGTAAAAAGAATTAAACTATCATGACATAAAACCATCAAAGGTTAACATATAATTAGAATAAATATTTCAAGTTTGGGTGGTCAGTTTCAAGTTGAAGCATTGTTTAGCACTCCAATCGGAACTCTGTAGAACATGTCTATTTCTGATGATAATGCTGATGCGTATAGAGTTGTTTGACACTCTGTCACATATTTATGATGAAGATTAAAGTTTAATTTGGTAAGATTCCTGTTCTTATATCTCTGTGTAAACACATGATATTTAATATTTACATTCACCCTTACATTCACTGCTATTATATTTCTTACTCTTATATTTTATTCACTATAAGAAATATAAGATTCACTACTCTTACATTTTATTCTACATTTACATTTACTCTTACGTACACTACTCTTATATTTTTAACGTGGCTAAGAAATATAAGAGACATTGTAGAAGATGAAGCACAAAACACTTTTAAAGATGAGACAGAAAAAATCGATTTCCAGATTTAATTGACCAAGGACCCTTGCTCATTGAAGATGTGAGCCGTGACTAAGTCTTCAACAACGAGATTTTTTTTTGTTATTTCCACAAATCAATCGTCGAGAAAATCACAGTATTGAATCAAATGTCATGACATTGGTAAAAGGAAACACTAACTATGAGATTGTCCTAAATCTAATAATGACTTAGATCATGGAAGGCTCATGCCTACCAAAAAACAAAATACAAAAGTCCCACAGTAAATAAGAGCCCACTTCACCGAGTCCATCAACTCCAAGTTATGGGGAAATATCTTCCTGAGAGTATTATTCTCCGACTCCGGGACAATCTCTATGCTGAAAGGAGCTGCGAGCTCATTCCAAAACAGAGCAGTCATGTCCATCATTTTTGTATCCCTCATCAATTTCTCAACATTGCTCCACACTTTCTTTAGCCTTCTGAACTCTTTCATCATGTCACAAAATAGCTTCAAGCTCTGGTCGGATTCTCTGGTTATCTCGATAATCCGCTCCGCACTCATGCTATCTGGATTTAGTGCATCAAGCTCTGCCACATAATTCAATTTGGTGCAGTGTTTTATGAAGGGAGAGAGTTGTTCGCGTTTTCAAACTCAATGATGGACAAATAAAATGATCACGCGACAATCTATAGCAAGTTGGCGTTTTGGTGCATTTCAAAAGACTATGGTGGACTCTTGTATATTCTGCATTAGGTTTAGTGTTTTTTTTCTTTTCTGTTAACAATCAACATCTGTGGACAACTTTGGGAGCGATAATCCTTTTCTTGTAATCCATATGTGATACGTCCGTTAGATTGATCGATAGTGAAGAGGACGGAAGAGAAGAAACAGATTGATCTTGAAAATCTCAAGTGGTTCAAAGGGGATGTCCTTTATTCAAAACTTGAACCCAGTTTTGGACATCATGAGCCAAGAACCTAGTGGAAGAGATACTTGTGAAGACGAGACAGAAAAGGCCTTCCCAACATTTTTGCCTGTGGAATCTAAAAGTGATAATCAAACCTAGTGGAAGAGATACTTGCATATAGATAGTTTTCCAACTTGGTTACGGTATCTGCTCAAGCAAACATACAAAACGACAATAGCAGTGGTAAAACCAGCGTACATCTTTTATCAGTGTTCCATTAATACTAATTTTCAATTTTCTCTTCAGTTTCAACAATTTTCATATTTAAAAAAAATTAAACTCTCACGTCATGTCATGTTGTTGAATCTAGAGTTATATATTAATTTATGTATATATATATATTACGATTTTGGTGGTAATATTAAACACACAAAAATAGAAAATGTGGTTTAGAAAAAAACTTGGGAGAAACTCTATCTTCATTTTGATTGTTATAATCAATTATAGTGAAAAGATCTTCAATTTCTAACAAATTATAGCAAATGTACAAGATAAACATATAAAAAATATCAGATTTAACAAACAACAAATGATGAAGTTTGATTTTTTATTTAAAACATGATTGCAATAAAAGCAGCTAAAGTTTTCAGAAACAAAAATTCAGTTTTTTAAAAAATATTGTAAAAAGAAATAAATATTAGAATAAATATTGTAGTTTGGGTGGTCAGTTTGGACTTGAAGCATTTTTTAAGACAATACTTATTTGGTATGAATTCCTTTTAAAACAAGTCATTGTTCAAAAACTGAGGTGGGAAAATAACAGCAAAGATAAATAAGTAATTAAAAACAAGATGGAAACGACACTGTTTTATATGTCTGGTTATATGTTCAACTCAGCTTCACTTCCCCGCTTCTTCTCCCAGACTCCCACATTCGCAGATTTCAGAGAAAAAGGAAAATTCGGCGAAGAAGAAACGAAACAGCGAAAATGGAGATGGTTAGTGTAAATCTCTCTCTCTCTCTCTCTCATGTTAAAAAAATATGTTTCTCTTTCTGACTAGATAAAGGAAAGTCGAACACTAGCCGTATATAGAAGGTTTGTAATGGTGGGAAATTTAGGTCCGCGATTTTAGGGTTTCGATTTCGAATCCCTTAGAGGTTTTAGTAATGGAGGTTAGGAACGAGAGATTTAGGTAAGTTAATCGGACTGAAATTGATCGTATCCAACATTTACCGAAAATGGAACTTGAAGTCTTGAAGGCTTTAATGGTGGAAAATTTAGGTCCGCGATTTTAGGGTCTCGGTTTCGAATCGGTCAGTGGTTTTAGTAATGGCGCGAGGGATTTAGGTGATTATCGGAGTGAAATTGATCGTATCGGACATTTAAGGAAACAGAGGTTTTGAGAAACTAGTGTCCGAGTTTAAAGAGACAATGCGATTCCGGATTCTTTGTGATTGATCAGGTTTTTTTGGAAATGAAATCGGAAATTCTCTCAAGACTTCCATACTAGCTTCGTAATGAGAGGAGGGTATACATAATCGATTCCGAGAAATTAGTGACCGAGAATGAAGGAGATAATTGGATACCGGAGCTTTTTTGGGAATCAAATTGGAAATTCTCTTTTTAAGATTTCGATATAGCTTCGTAACCAGAGAATATGAAGCTATGCGAGGATTTTAATCTGGAAATTTCTGGTGTTGATAGGTCCCTATTTCAGATAGTGACGGCGAATCGTACCACGCCCAAACCGGATGTCCTGTTTCAGATAGTGATGGCGAAGTTTTTCACACCCCACCCGGATCTAGTGATGATGATCCGTTCCACACTCCAACCGGATCTCCTCCATCGGATGCTCAGGTTCCCGCACCTCATGAAGCGGTCCAGTCTTTTCCCAAAACTCTTTATACCGCACAAACCGGGGAGGATACTTGTAGCATATGCCGCGAAGAGTATGAAAAAGGACAGAGCATCACCACATTGCCTTGCCGTCACGTTTACCATACTACTTGTATTGAATCTTGGCTTACGGGCCATAACGGGTAATAGAAACAACTTTTTCCTTTCATTCCTGGTCTGAATTGATCTGATCTGTATCTCCTCGATGCAGAGTCTGTCCCTATTGTATGATAGACGTTTGTGCTCCTGCTCCAACCAGATCTACTTCTGGTGCTGCTACAACTGGTTCTACTTCACAAGCTAGGCTGTTTCAGGCTATACACGGATTTCAGGCTCCACAAGATGGTGATGTTCACGTACATGATGAAGTTGTTGATGCTTTACCCAATCCCCAGCTTCTTGCACCTCTTGAAGTTGTCGAGTCTTTACTGAAAAGACTTCATACCTCACTTACCGACGAGTATGGTTCATCTTGTGACATATGCCTCTCAGAGTATAAAGAAGGAGAGAGCATCACGACATTGCCCTGCAATGATTATTTCCATTCAACTTGTGTGGAAACTTGGCTTAATGAATATGACAGGTAGTAGAAACAACAACTTTTTTGTTTCATAGCTCGCCCTATAGTAATATGTCGACCGCGCCACATTAGGAGCAGTCACTCACTTTTGACAGTTATGTGGTTCCAGAAGAAGATCTAGAATTGGGTCAATCACGTTTATTAGAAACTTTGTCTGAACTGAGCTGATCTGTATCTCTTCATTGCAGGTTATGTCCCGTTTGTAAGAGAGACATTTGTGTTCCTGCTCCAAGCGGATCTACTTCTGATGCATCCGGGTCTACTCCACAAACGGAGGTGTCTCAGGCCACACCCGAATCTTCGTCTCATGCTGTTTTGTCTCAGGCTCCACAAGATGGTGAGATTGTTGGATAATGCCTGCTCTATATCTCTTCCACTAAGCACCCGGATCTTATACAGTACATACGGATCTTATATAGTATATAATTCGCTCCGTATTCATGCTCTAGTTCTGCCACATAATTCAAGTAAGACTTTTGTTCAATGTGAGAGAAGAAAGAAATGACTTTTGGGTCAATGGTGTTACCTCTGTCAAACATGGAGTCCATTATCATCTTGAACTGCATGATCTGATGGGGGGTTAGCTGTGTCTTGTATAATGCATGTCTAGAAAATATCTGACGTAGAATGTGAAGAAACCTATACGAGTCGACTCTGTACTTATAAATTGCTAGTACTTGAGGTAATGGATTAAACATGAGTTTAACTATAGTCTATAGAGATGTTCGAGAAAATCACAGTACTGAATGTTCGAGAAAATCACAGTACTGAATGTTCGAGAAAATCACAGTATTGAACCAAATTGCATGACACTGGTAAAAGGAAACACTAACTATGAGATTGTCCTAAATCTAATAATCAGTTAGATCGTGGAAGGCTCATGCCTACCAAAAAACAAAATACAAAAGTCCCACAGTAAATAAGAGCCCACTTCACGGAATCCATCAACTCGAAGTTATTGGGAAAAATCTTCCGGCGAGTAATATTCTCTGACTCCGAGACAATCTCTATGCTGAAAGGAGCTGCGAGCTCATTCCAAAACAGAGCAGTCATGTCCATCATTTTTGTATCCCTCATCAATTTCTCAACATTGCTCCACACTTTCTTTAGCCTTCTGAACTCTTTCATCATGTCACAAAATAGCTTCAAGCTCTGGTCGGATTCTCTGGATATCTCGATAATCCGCGCCGCACTCATGCTATCTGGATTTAGTGCATCAAGCTCTGCCACATAATTCAAGTAAGACTTTAATGTTGATCAATGTGAGAGAAGAAAGAAATGACTTCTGGATCAATGGTGTTACCTTTGTCAAACATAGAGTCCATTATTATCTTGAACCGCATGATCTGATCGGGGGTTAGCTGTGTCTTGTATAATGCATGTCTAGAAAACATCTGACGTAGAATGTGAAGAAACCTATATGAGTCAACTCTGTACTTATGAATTGCTTGAACTTGAGACAATGGATTAAACATGAGTTTAACTATAGTCTATAGAGATGAAAGTATACCTTGTAAACTTGTCCGTCATAAAATACATACATTTTTCTCAATGTGAATCCACTCGTAGGCCTTTGGAGCTCTGGTAACAAAGAGTGTTATGATTCCTAAAATAAACAAGAGGCCATAATCAAATTGAAGGAGTTAATTTTGCATACCAAGGAAACGCCAGGGTTGATCATGCGAAGTCATCTTTTATATCTCTAAGAATTTGAGCTCGAGAGGAGGATCTATGTTAAAAAAAAAACAGAAAAACTTTTATATAACGACGAACTTGTATCTACAGCTATTAATTACATGTTTCTATGGAAAACTATAAGGAAAAATAACAATAGCATCAATGTTCTATTTCCATTATTCGAAATTAATAATCATGGGTAGGAAACTCGTATCATTCTTTTTCCATTATTTGAAATTTAATTGTCAATAAAGATTTACATTTTTTCGAAATCATTCCGATCCTACGCTCCCGCCTGATTTCTATTTCCCTCCGTAATGCGACAAGACTCCCATTGGTCCACCTCATTTCCTGGTCCCACTTGTGTGTTGTGTGGCACGTTCGGATAATTCTCTCCACCCTTTGGAATTTGGATAGTACTTATCAGTAAGTCCAAAATATTAAACTCATATGATATCTTTATGTCAAACTTTTCAAAACAAATATAAATTCTAAAATGTCATATATTGAAAAACAGAGGGAGTAGCTATTTTTGTTGGGTTTGGGAATCTATTAAACAATAAATGGGGTTTAGGCTCATTAACTAAGAAGCTACGTCATCTACAAAGTTGCTGAGGTTTTTGATGTAGCATCAATTTGTGAGTAACCAGGAACGATACGTGTCAGCCAAAGTGATTCCCAAAATGGCTCTAGAAAACAGTACATTTCTATTCCTTGCGAGAAATAACTAATGTTATCCCTCCCTAAACCTTTTCACTAAATAACTATTGTTTAATCACCTTTCAATTATATATAATTATTGAATGTTTGTCTAAGTACAAGGTGGGACGGATAAAATAAATAAAAGTCGGCTTTAAAATATAATCTTGCCATCATCGTGGAGTGTACTTTTCTTTCAAAATTAAAGAAAAGTACTCTTTCTAAAAATTCTACAAAAAAAAAAACTATTTCAAACTATAATTAACATCAAAATTGAAGTGAGTTATTTATCGTCATATGCAATGTACTCTAAGTCAGTCGCATAACACCACTTATAAATTAGCTCAAGCGAATCACATATCATTTTGAATCGTTTTTCTCTAAATCCTACATATATAGTTAGAATTTCTTTAAATTTTTTTATTTTATTAATTGTTGTTGTTTTAACTGTTGATCTGAACGTTGAAACGTCGTAACTAGTGTTTCAAAATGTTTATAACTATGCAAAAGGATGATCTATCTTGAACTACACGCAAATATATATACGTCTAATGTTAGTTTTGTGAATATGAAGGCCCTTTAACAAAACAAAAAAAAAACAGTTTTGTGAATAAGTCATAAGTTAAACTCGACTTTCGTTTTCGTTGTTTTAGTATAAATATTCCAAATCCACCAACTCCAAGGATAAAGAACCAATTGACAATTGGATTTTATGCAATCCCTACTAATATTTTAGCACCATCCTCCTACTTATCTAATCCAATACGAAATTAAATAGAATAAGACCATTATCATTATTGGTGTGACACAACATTAGTTTAATATGCGGAATATCAAAATGCCAACAGAAGATTCTTATCCGCAAATGTTATAAAATTCCATTATAGTTGTCACTAATCATCTTTAATATTGCTAACTTTCAATTAATCAAATAAGAGAGGCGGTTTGGGCGGCATCCAATAATGCTTCGCCACGTAAGATGGGTCCCATCTTCGTCATTTGCACTTCGCTATATAAACTGAGCCCATACAGAAGCCGAAAACAACATAAAGAAAACAAAAGGAGCTAACAAAACCAAAACCAAACAATAAGCAAAGTCTTCGGGTAAAAAAGAAATGGTGAAGATAGAATTTGGAAGTTTGGGTGACTCATTCAGCGTTGCATCTCTAAAGGCTTACTTGTCTGAGTTTATCGCAACTCTTCTCTTCGTATTCGCTGGCGTTGGCTCAGCTATCGCGTTTGGGAAGCTAACCTCCGATGCAGCCTTGGACCCAGCTGGTCTTGTGGCGATTGCGATAGCTCACGCGTTTGCCTTGTTCGTTGGAGTTTCGATTGCCGCTAACATCTCTGGTGGCCACCTTAACCCTGCCGTGACTCTCGGTCTTGCCGTTGGCGGAAACATAACATTGATCACAGGTTTCTTCTACTGGATCGCTCAGTGTCTTGGCTCCATCGTTGCTTGCCTTCTACTTGTCTTCGTTACCAATGGCGAGGTACGTACTACTAGCGTAGAACTCGTTATTCTTGTTTTTCCGGTTCGCTTCGGTTTGTATCACTTTTAAAGGGTACGACACTGGTTGATAAATGATATTTTGTTTGCCCGGTTTGCTTCAGAGCGTACCAACCCATGGAGTGGCAGCCGGTTTAGGAGCGGTCGAAGGCATCGTGATGGAGATCATCGTGACCTTTGCTTTGGTATACACCGTTTACGCAACAGCGGCTGATCCAAAGAAAGGATCGCTCGGAACCATCGCTCCCATCGCTATCGGTTTCATCGTTGGTGCCAACATTCTCGCTGCTGGTCCGTTCAGCGGTGGCTCCATGAACCCAGCAAGGTCGTTTGGACCAGCTGTTGTCAGTGGAGACTTGTCACAAATCTGGATCTACTGGGTGGGTCCACTCGTTGGTGGTGCACTTGCCGGACTCATCTACGGCGACGTTTTCATCGGTTCTTACCAAGCTGTAGAAACCCGTGAGCTCCGAGTCTAAGTGACCGGCTTTGTGATTGCTTGATGTTTGCTTGTTGGTTGGTTTGGTATTTTGTATGCGTGTTTTGTGTCCAGTTTCTACCAATATTGTATGTGCAGAAAAAAAAAGTCAAGTCTTGTTAATAACAAGAAAATGTATATGTATCCATTTTATATGTGAAAATTTAACGAAACATTTCAAATGGTAAAAAATAGCCAAACCACAAACATGAAAACATGAACAAATGATATACCATTTCCATTTATTGTAACTAAATTATTTACAAAGAACACTTCTGTTGTTTTTGACGTAGAACCATACAATAGACTATTGATTTTTTTAGTTACATGGTTACAAATAAATAGCTATGTAAATTTTAATTATAGAAATATAGAAAAGGAAGAAACAAAGATAAACTAGATAGCCAATGGGTATTCGAATAATCTGTAACTCTATTGAAACTCGTGGGGAATATCTTTATAGAAATACGGAAAGTGCTATGGTTTTGTGTGATTACAATTATAACAGAAAGAAACTGGTCGGTACAGTCACGATCTCTGTTAAAGTTGTCCGGTCAAATCTTCTCGGACTCAAAAAGACAAGACACAAGAGCAGCTTATGGCTCTAAAACCAATGCAAATGTCTCTCCATGATATCTTGTTATTTTTTCTTAATTATTGAAATTACGAGTTCCACGACTTCCCTAATCTACATTTTGTGCCCTTCTGATGAGACATTTCCTGAATTTATGGACTGTGCTCAAAAGCACAGTTACTTCGATTTGTGTTCCCTCTGTCTACGTCTCTTTCTCCTTACTTATATATCAGAACATGGAAACTTCATTGATTCACTTAGTATTCTCTGATTGGATCTGAACAATTCCAAGTTAATAAAGAAAGGATCGTTTTGCTTATTTGGTGATCTGTTGGGTCCTTCTTCTTCTCTATTACAACCTTATTCATCATCTTGGTTTTCTACAAAACTGAGGAGAAAATGGAAGGTGGATTTTATTCAGATTGGAATGACAGTTCTTCATCTTTATTCGGATCAGAGAATCTGGAGGAAGAGTTGGAGGATGGAATTTTGAGAGCTGAAGAGCTTTTCTCTCGGATTCCTCAGCCTCAGACACCAAGGGAGCCAATGAAGTTTCTGTCCAGATCATGGAGTCTATCCGCTACTGAAATCTCCAAAGCTCTAGCGCAGAAACAGAGACACGAGCGGCAAAACCAAGTTCCATTTTCTCTTGACCAGAACACTCCTAATGTCTTCTTCCATGACGCTGCTGTAGATCCACTCACGGTATGATCCCTCTACAGCTGATGCTTAATGTTCTAACGACCTTAACAGAACTATAAAAGAAGAGAATTACTTCAAAGTCAGAGACTTTCACTTATGGGAGATCTTCACCAGTTTTTCTGATTTTGACGATTCCTTGGTATTGCAGGCAGGGAAGCTCATGAACTCAGATGGGATGCGTAGATCAGGGAGATTATCAAAATGGCTTCACCACGCCAAGCCAAGCACCATGAGGATTCCGAAGAAAGATAAAGCTCGTGTAGAGAAAGCCCATGTTCACTCTGCTGTGTCCATTGCAGCTCTGGCAGCTGGGTTAGCGTCTGTGACATATGAGGAAAGCTGCGGCAAAGGGTCAGGATCCATGATGGCGCTGGCTCTAGCCTCAGCCACCGAGCTACTGGCTTTGCATTGCATTGAGATGGCTGAGCAAGCAGGTGCAGATCGCACTTGTGTTGCTGCCACGGTTAGGTCTTCCGTTGATATCCACAGCCCTGGAGATCTCATGACTCTCACAGCAGCGGCTGCAACTGGTAAGGCTATTGTTCAAAGTTTGTGTGTTAGAGGCTTTGGTTTGGTGTTAGTAAGATTGTATTTGATTTGATTTTGTGTAAAACTGAACCAGCATTGAGAGGAGAAGCAGCTCTGAAGGTGAGGCAACCGAAGGAAGCAAGGAAGAAAGCGACAATCACACCTTGTGAGAGGAGCTTCTCTGACTCTTACTGGCCTTCAAATTGTCAGTTTGGATTGGATGAACCAAAACTTCCTTTAGAGGGCGAACTGGTGCAATGTGGGCAAAATGGTAATTATATTCTTCTTCTCTAACTATACCTGAGTCAAGAAGCTTATACTGAACTTTCTCATCAGGAGGACAGCGGATTAAGCAAGTTTGTATCTATATCAACAAGAAGTCTCAGGTACTTGAGCAGACTAGATACTAAGTTAATTTGGTTCGTACCTAGTACCAACATAAGCTTAATAGCTCTATGACTTTCTCAGGTCATGATCAAACTCAAAAGGAGACACGTTGGAGGGGCATTCTCCAAGAAGATAAAATGTAAGCATTTTCTATTCTTTCAAGAGTTAGGGAAATTACTTGAAACATGGACGTCTGAAGCTTCTTGTTCCTTATGAAGGTGTTGTTTATGGAGTCTGCGATGAGATATCTGCATGGCCTTACAGGAAAGAGAGGGAAAACTCAGAAAAAGTCTATTTTGGTCTGAAAACTGGACAGGGTCTTTTGGAGTTCAAGTGCAAGAGTAAGATTCAGAAGCAGAGATGGGTTGCTGGGATTCAGTCTACTCTCCGACAAGTAACTTGTCTCGCGGATGCCAAACGTTCGCTCGAATCTCTGAGCCTAAGCGATCGTATGCGATAGAGAATCCTGTAAATACTTCATATTTTCACAGTTTTGCAAAAACTGCAAATGAATCAGAAATCTTCAATAGAAATTGTTATATCCTTCTCTTTAGTTGTTCATACAACAACAAAATCAGATGAGAATCGCAAGTAATCCTCTGCTTGCTTTATTAGAATACAACAGTCTTGTTTGTTCCGTAAGGTAATACCCGTAGTTCGCAGTATGATTTTATAGCTTTCGTGAGGCATTTTTTCTCAAGGTCCTCAGATTTCTGGACAAAGCTCCTCAGGTTATCCCGGTGGGAAACACTCTCAACCTGAAAAAAATATCAAAATTCAAACAAATTAATTGACAAGACGCCGAAGACCATTGACATATACTCATCAAATAGTTGGCAGACAAGTTACCATTTGTTCAATGATAGGCCCTGAATCAAGTTCCTCTGTAACAAAGTGACTCGTTGCTCCAATTAGCTTCACACCTGCATCAAACGCCTGCCAAAAAGAATCAAGAATACTAAGAGACACAGAACAAAGAGACCAAACCATATATAGCCAGTTAGAAACAAGGTAGAGCCATGAGAAAACCCAAAGACCTGTTTTGCAGGATATCCGCCCTTGAATGATGGCAAGAGACCATGATGGATGTTGATTACATCCTTTCCGTAACCCCTCAAGAAGTTACCCGACAGAATCTGCCAAAAGGAAGAAGTGCTCATTGATACAAAAGCTGAACACGATTGTTTCGTTTTCGTAGTAATCCGTTGTTAACCATTTGATTAAGGAAAAAAAAAGAGATTTGGCAAAGACTAAAGTAATCTGATTTACCTGCATGTATCTAGCAAGAACTAGGAAATCAGTATCTTTAACCAATTCCAGAATCTCGTCTTCTTTTTTATTCTCTTTAGTTGTCGATACATAATGATACGGAATGCCATGCCTCTCAAGAAACCGCATAACATGAGTGTTTGGAGCTCTTTCATGATTACTGATAACACACACAAACACCAGAGTCACTAAACATATATGCTTACATAATTTACATATTCAGTCCAAATGAAAAGAAAAGAAGCAAATAGCTCACCTTATCACACAGGTTATATCCACAGGGAGTTTTCCGTCTTGCCACTTATGCAGCATTTCGACCAGACAATGATCCTGTATATTTATTAACAGAATCACATACTTTTCAGCAGTAATAACAAAGTGTATAATAAGGAGGTTTCTAACGTTTCGATACCTGTTTTGAGAGAAGAAGAGCTATCTTATACTTGGGGTCTATAGAAGGCACACGCACAACCGAGTTCATGGCACTGTATGTTTGCGCAATAGTTTGAAAATCTTCATCCACTTGGTTTCTCGGCCATTTTACGGGATCAAATACAAACTCGCTGTTCAAAGAAACAATCATTTCTTCATCACTACTATACACCAAAAACATATTCTTTCACTCGATTGCAATCTGTGAGATTTATCATCATCCAAGCTTTTCAATTTCATAGCAATTTAGGTGCCCAGGAAAAGCAATTATTCACTCTCGAGACATTTCCTCAGAAAGTTTTGATTTTTTAAAAATGGAGCAAAAGCTGGGTATATATATATATACCTGCGAGAGTAAAAGACACTGTTGTTCTCGGGAACAAAAACATCGTAGCCAAGAATGTTTCCGCCTTTTGCTGCAATACAATCTGATAGCTTTGCTACAATCCCAACAGCATCCTACATAATTCAGAAACCAAAATTTCATTTCATGAGAATGGTTTTCGATTCGATCAACAGAGCAAGAGCAGAGCGCAATATTTTTCACGTTCGTATACCTGGCAATGAAAGACATGGACGCCGGGAATGAGAACAGGTGAGACGGAGGAATCGAGAGACTCGCCGTGAAATTGCGACGCCGACGATTTGAGAATCCAATCGTTAGCGAACCCAGAAGCTCTCTGGGAGAGTCTTCGTATCATCGTCTCTTGACTCTCCGCCTCAACGAGACCAACGACGGTCCCGATTCCCCAAGGATCCTCCCACTCACACTCATCCCTTCTTCTTTTTTTAACCCTTTTTGTTTTTGTCGTACTCTATTTTTATTTTTCTTTTATATAATTCACCAGCAGTAAGAAAAATACGGATTTTTTGTTTTTTGTTTTTTTGTTTTGCATTCACACTAGTTCTTCACTACATGAACAAAGTAAAGAAGGGTAGAGGAATTCCTTAAAAACAAACCACAACTGTTATACAGTTAGTGTAATGACAAAATCTAAACCACAAGTTTAGGAGAAAGATTGTTTGATATCCACTGAACTTGGAACATAGAAACAAATAAGTGGCCAATCACAACATGTGTGTGTAGCTTCTCCGAGATCCAGTTTTGTAAAGCATCCATCTTCTCCAATGATGTGAGCTACGTTTCGAGTTTCATCGTCGTCTTTATCAAAAGTAACAACGACTTTCTTGTCCTCATCGATGAAGAAACCCTTATGTGTATTGCGGAACGTAGTGAATGGCCTCGTATCCACCGCAAAAAACTTGGTCCACGACACTGTTTCGGGTTTAATTTTACTTGTAACCCATAGCTCCATCTCATGTCTGTTTCGTTGCTGAAATGCCAACGCAAGCTGTTTTCCCCTAACATTACTAGATAGAGCCACGATATCTCCGAGATAAGAGTCGAACGGCAGAGTCAGACGCGGCCCTAGTCTCTCTTTTGTGAAATCAAAACATATTAAGAACTTTTTGTTCCTTGCTCTTACTACATTTTCTTCTCCTCTATTAACCACTCCGATTCTGTAAGTATCTCCCTTAAGAGACACACCTTCGTAATACAAGATATCAGAATCTGGTGGAGTGATATCAAGAACCCTCCACGAGTTCGAGTTAAAATTGTAGATTTCGTGCCCACTAACTCGGTTGATGCCATAACCATCCGTAAACCTCCTCAAGATTTTGTGGTTTCGATCACTAGGACAAGATTTGTTGTTCTTCTTTTTCTCGTATCCGATAGAATAAGTGTCTGTAACACAGTAATAACATTTGGGTCGGATCCACTTTTGTTTCCCCCAGTATGGGTTCCAAACCACAAGTCTCATGTCGAAGTCTTTCTTGACGAATAACAATAATAAACCATCGCAGTGAAAAACTCGATATATGTCGACTGATTCTAAATCATTGTTGTTGTAACACGTAGTAAGTTTACCTTGAGGCTTTATAGATGGATCATAAACATTTTTGTGAAGAGTTCCACTGAGATTGACTCCCATCAGATAAACATTATTATCCATCACCATGATCACGCTAACTTCTCTTGCGGAATCTTCACTGACGACGTTAATATGTTTCTCTGCAAAGCTCCGAGTTTTAGATACACTGTTCCATTTTTTGCAAGTAAGTCGCACTGCTCTCAGAGATGTAACCGGAAGCTTTGAGAAAATCTCCTCCATTAAATCCCTCGGAAGATTCAACATCCCCATTGTTTCAGCTATTCTTGTAATTAGGGTTTTAACCTTCGAGAAGTAGAGAGGACAAATATATAATTATTGAAGTGCTAAACAAAGTTGGGCCAATCTTGGGCTTCGGATTTTTGTAAGGGAGAAAAAAAAACCATGTTTTTGTTCATATTCCCGCTAACATAACATGGCCATGAGATTAAAGGGTCCCTAAGAATTAATCCCTCGGAAGATTCGACATCCCCATTGTTTCTATGATAATTAGGGTTTAACCTTCAAGAAGTAGAGAGGCCAAATATATAATCATTGAAGCGCTAAACGAAGTTGGGCCGATATTGGGCTTTAGATTTTTTTAAGGGAAAAGGAAACCGTGTTTCTGTTTCATATTCCGCTAACATATATAACATGGCCATGAGATTAAAGGGTCGCTAAGAATTTTTTATTTCTTTAATCACAGAAGAAAAACTCCTTTGAGATACAAATACGATACGAGAGATAGAGAGAGAGAGCTTCTATGTACAAACCCTAGATTTCACGAAATCGATCTATCCGATTCTCGTGAAGACGCAGCTTGTTTTCAATTATGATTCTGCAGATCGAATTGAATCTTCCTTAGATTTAATCGACGGTCTCACGATTTCGATCCTTTTTTTCTACTGGAATCGGTGCTTGGAGCTCCCGGATCTTATGGACTGAAGGCAAGCTCCCGGATCTGTAGCTGCGAAGATCTTCGGAGGAGGATTGAAGATATCGGCGGCGCAATCACCAGCTCTTTCCCCCTGCGATCTACTATACTCGATTTGATTCAACCCGGACGTTCTCGTGCCTGAATCTGCAGGGACCACTCTTGGATTTTTAGATTTGGTGTGGAATTGCTGCACGCGTGGAGGTTTCGTCTGTCAAATTCCGTGAAGTCGAATCAGCGAAGTAAAAAAAAATGAATTTTTAGGTTTTTGCTTGTATCTACTTTTTGTGTTTTGGAAATCAAATCTTTGGCCTCGATTTTTTTTAATAACCGAAGGCCTCGATTAGGGTTTTCAAAATAGTAGCTTTTTTGTGTTTTGAGTTGGTCGTGTCATTATAATCTTTTACGAAATAGTAATACATATGTATTTGCTTTATTTATCAGATAAATTTTCAATGGCAATTTATTACAAGTTTAAGAGTGCAAGGGATTATGATACCATCGCCATGGATGGCCCTTTTATATCAGTCGGTATTCTCAAAGACAAAATTTTCGAAACTAAGCATTTGGGCAGTGGTAAAGACCTTGATATTGTCGTCTCCAATGCCCAAACTAACGAAGGTTTGTATTCTACGTCAGATTCTGCGTCAGTGTGTTTGCTTCTGTTGTGTGGAGTCTGCCAAATTTTGGATGTTTTGTAATGCCTTTTCGATCTTTGTGTTGTTTGTTGCCTAATCAAGTGTTGTGCTGCTGTTTTGCTTTAGCTGCTTTGGTAGTAAATCGATATGGTTGCACCTGTGACACAATCAACTTGGATTTTACATGATGTTCCTTATTTGAGTTAACTATGATTATTTACTAGGTTAAAAATATGTATTGATTGGTTACCTGTTTGAACTATTAGGGAAGAGTCTGTAGGAGTCTGATTCTAGAATTTCTCAGGAAACTTGGTATACTTTGTTTGCTCTCTCTGTGGCCTTTATATGTTCTCTGTTTTGAATTTTCAGAGTATCTGGATGAAGCAATGTTAATACCAAAGAATACATCTGTCCTAATTCGTCGAGTCCCAGGACGCCCTCGCATCACAGTTATTAGTACTGCACAAGAGTACTTTCTCAGACCTTTGATTCCCATATGCTTAGTCAAGTTATTTAGCTATTTTATCTTAAGTTCAGCAAAAGATATTTAGCTCAACATAAGTTCATAGTGTGGCAATAGGTTTGAAGAAACACCTGGATTTTCATGTTAACTGATGCAATTATCTTAACATTGCAGGCCTAGAATGGAGAGTAAAGTGGAAAACGTTCAGCCTGAAATCAGCAATGTTCCGGTTGCGGATCCGTCTGCAGGGAAATATGTAAGTTGATTATGTTGAACGAAGCTCAGCTTCTGTTTGTGTTACAAAAGTACTAATTTTCACAATTTTTCACCTTCCAGCCTGAAGATGAGTGGGACGAGTTCGGGAATGATTTATACTCCATTCCTGATGCCCAAGTTGCCCAGGATAACAATCCATGTCCTGTCCTTGCACCAGCAGACGAAAAAGTAGACGAAGAAAGCAAAATCCAGGCGTTGATTCACACTCCAGCTCTTGACTGGCAGCGGTAAGCTATCTTTCACCAATGGTGACGTAAAAATATTGACTTTTGTTTTAGATGTATTAAAAACCCCTCTTATCATTATTATTTTTCGATGTAACAGACAAGGTCCAGATAATTTTGGGGCTGGGAGAGGTTACGGAAGGGGTTCGAGTGGAAGGATGGGTGGACGTGGTTTTGGTAAATTTTTACTTACTTTTATTCTTTAATGTTTCATTAACTTTAGTCAAATATTTTTGTAAGATTTTACTCGCATCAAATTATAAGACACTGACCTTGGCTTTGTTGGGCTTGGATAGGAATGGAAAGGAAAACGCCACCTCCGGGATATATTTGCCATCGCTGCAATGTCCCTGGTATGTCAGCTTTGGAAAATCTTTATTTTCTTAACACTTTTGTATAGATAGAAGGTGCTAAGAGCTTTTTGTTTACTGTCTCAGGACATTTTATCCAGCATTGCCCCACAAATGGTGACCCTGAATTTGATGTTAAGAGAGTTAAACCACCTACTGGTATCCCCAAGTCCATGTTGATGGCGACCCCTGATGGTTCTTATTCCTTGCCCAGTGGCGCTGTTGCAGTTCTGAAACCAAATGAGTAAGTTTTACTGAGTTAGTATGGGGATGTTACTGTTTGGTACTTTGTCTCATAAATTGATTATAATTTAAATGATTGCTGTGTCTTCAACAAATACAGGGATGCTTTTGAGAGGGAAATGGAGGGATTGCCATCAACAACACGCTCTGTAGGAGAACTTCCACCTGAGCTAAAATGCCCACTATGCAAAGAAGTAATGAGAGATGCTGCGCTTACAAGCAAGTGTTGTTTCAAGAGCTTCTGTGACAAATGTAAGTTCTTCCGATGCTTTTTTTGCTGTTTCCCGAATCCAGTTCCAACTCAACACACAAGTATCCTGTTTCACTTCGATTATATGCAATTCAGGTATCAGAGATCATATTATTTCAAAGTCGAGGTGTGTTTGTGGAGCAACTGATGTACTCGCTGACGATCTCCTACCAAACAAGACCCTTAGGGATACTATTGAACGTATTTTGGAAGCTGGAAACGATAGCACTGAGAACGCCGGCAGCGTTGGACATATCCCAGGTATGTCATTGTCTTAATTCATAGTGTTTTTAAATCTTGGTTTTGATCAGTGGTCACTGCTAAATTACCATATGACCTAATATAGATTTGGAGTCTGCACGCTGTCCACCTCCCAAGGCTCTATCTCCTACTACATCTGTTGCATCTAAAGGCGAGAAAAAACCAGCTCATAGTAACAACAACAACAATGCTTCAACCGTAAAGCTGCCAACGGAAGCTGCAGAGATCACAAGTGCCCCTCGGGCATCTGCAGAGGATAAAGTGGAAAAGCCAGTCGATGCGTGTGAAAGCACTCAAGGGTCCGTGTCTGTGAAAGAAGCAACAGTCTCAAAGCTCAATACGCAAGCTGCTCCCAAGGAAGAAGTGCAGCAGCAGCAGGTTGCTGCTGGAGAGCCAGCAAAAAAGAAGAAAAAGAAACCCCGAGTGCCTGGACCTGGTAACCTTTCTTTCTTATGCTCAATGGCCTCGGTCATGTTCATTCTTCCCCGAGTCTTAGGTGTAACGTGTCCTTTTGTTTTTTTGTGATTTGTTGTAGATATGCAATGGAATAATCATGGGCCGGATCTAGCAGGCCCTGACTACATGATGCAAATGGGTCCAGGTCCCCAGTACTTCAACGGCATGCAGCCCGGCTTCAACGGTGTTCATCCTGGCTTTAACGGCGTTCAACCTGGCTTTAACGGATTTCATCCCGGCTTCAATGGATTTGCAGGCCCTTTTCCAGGCGCGATGCCTCCTTTTATGGGTTACAATCCGATGGACATGGCCTTTAATGGGGGTATGAACATGATGCATCCTGATCCATTTGTTGCACAAGGATTTGGATTCCCTAATATACCACCACCTCATAGGTACAACAACACTCACTCAAATGCTCTATCCAAAAAATGCTTAGAGCCTTCTTAGTAATCTTTGTGCGAATGCAGGGACCTAGCGGAGTTGGGAAACCGTATGAATCTCCAACGTGCCATGATGGGCAGAGACGAAGCCGAAGCTCGAAAAGCTGAGATGTTAAGAAAACGCGACAACGAGAGACGAACTGAAGGGTAAATAAAATAAAAAGAAACACTACAAACGTTGTAACTCTGTTTTGATTACATTTAGACAAGGATATGCTATTAACCTTAAACATTGTTTGTGTAAACAGTGGGAAGATGTTTAGGGATGGAGAGAATAGCAGAATGATGATGAGCAATGGAACTTCAGCCTCTGCATCGTCCATCAACCCTAATAAATCTGTATGTTTCCTTTTGTTTACCAGTATACCTTTACTATTGGTTTTATATTACTTGCCAGAAAATGAATTAATGGGTTTTTATGAACAAGTGGAAGAATATTGGTTGTAAATGTAAATTTTCAAAGAAAATCAAAAACTTGGTTAACTTGGCTTTATCAGAAACTAGAGGATTTTGCAGGTTGAACCCTAAAAAAATTTAAATAAGAATCTTTGTCAAGTATCCGTTCTGTAATAATGGTTACTGGACTCTAAGGCCCAGTTGCTTGTTAATTGTGGGCCGTATAGTCCAATATCAGTTTCTCGAATGATATATTTATTCAGTTTAGTTGGGCTAATACTGTTTCTGGTTTCTCAGTACTCAGCGCGACCAGCACCTCCGCCACCGAATCCGGACTACGACCGCCGTAGACGACCGGAGAGATTATCTCCCGAGCACCCACCCCCTCGTAAGATCAATTCTCCGTCACGAGATTCCAAGAGAAAATCCGAGCGTTATCCTGACGAACGCGATCGACCACGCGACCGTGAAAGGTCGTCCCGTCACCAAGAGGTAGACCGTGAACACGACCACCGCACTCGCGACCGTCGCGATGAAGATAGAAGCCGAGACCAACGTCACCACCGCGATTCGGAACGCGACCAGCATCACCACCGTAAGCGATCGGAACCTCCGTCGTCGGAGCCACTCGCTGCCGCAAGTAAATCAGAGATCGATAACAGTCACAAGTCAAGCGTATTCGCTCGGATAAGCTTTCCGGAGGAAGAATCTTCCAGCAAAAGACGAAGGGGATCTTCGTCTGCTTCTGCTTCCGTGGCGGACCCGCCTGTCCCTGCCGCCGTTTCCGTCGGAACATCAATCCACCGTCACAGCCGGAAGGAAATTGAGGTAGCAGATTATGAATCTAGCGACGAAGATAGGCATTTCAAGAGAAAGCCATCGAGGTACGAGCGATCTCCACCAGTGGTGATTAGTGATGTGAGTGAAGATAAACATCGATACTCAAAACGCGGGAAGGGGGAGAGGTCTCGAGCTTGATTTTCAAACATTTTTGTTTTATTTTTGTATAATTTGCTTCAAGTCTGAGAAAATTAAATGAGAATCTTCTTATTTGGCTATAACGAACAAATAAGAGAGCTCTTTTTAATGAAATTCGATTTCGGAATCTTTTTTCTTTCTAGTCCAGCTTTTGTTTGAGGACAACACTTCTTAATTTCTTTATCCATGTAATCTAAATGACATCAGTTGATTTACAGTGAGAACTAAGTTTTTAAATACATGTTGTTACGTTTCAAATATAACTTATCGTACAACAATTATTGCTTAATATAGATCATGGTAATCCTTAAAAGTAAAAGTGAATAGAAAAAAACTTCTCAACATCTATAACAATTTTCTTAAAAGTTGTAAATTTTTCAAATTGGTTGAAAAGTTTCTTTTATCATATTAGAATGTTTCTTTGATCTTGTAACTAGACAAAGCGCATGCGCCTGAACTCACTTCTAATTCAAAAAGAAAATGGTAAGCTGTGTGATTCATTTCATTCTATCCAAAGTCCAAACCCGAGGCTACGTGAACTATTACATCGTTAGTTTGTTGGTCGGAGAAAAGCACAATTATATCTCTCTGCTCTCTGCTCCCTGCTTTCAAACTTCGGTCAGGATCAACGAAGATAGTATCACAACGTATGCAAGGAACGCAAATATCGCTATCTGTATCAACAACCTTGGATTTTCTCTCATGTTTGGTGACGTCACCGACCTGTCATAAAACCCAGTCACACTTTAAATGATTTTATCGTTACACAACAAAACCACCAAAACAAGATTTGGAACTCTTGATTTTCGTTTTACCTTGCAATACGCTGCGAGAGCCGATGGAATGGTAAACTTTGGATGAAGACTATCCCTGGTCCCGTTAGAGTCGCCATTACTACATTATCACCCTTTTGGATTGGCACAGAGAAGTGTCAGAATCAGAAAATGAGAAGGAACAAAACAAAAACCTGAACATTCTTCTCATTTAAAACAAATTTTAGGATGTGAGGAAAGAGAGTGTAAATAAATGTACCCCGAATACTGCTCGTCTCAGAGGAGCATTGTATTTAACTTGGACATCAATTGACGGAGTGAGAGCAGCGATGCAAGACACGTCAATGGTGAGAACTTCTCCTACCTCCAGGATTTTTTGTACAACTATCATGTTTTGGGATGGTAATGTCAGTATTTTGGAGGACGCCGCCTAAACAGGAACATCATTTTTTGTTGAGATAAAACCTCACCTGAGCCACCTGCGAGGATAAAAGCAAGACCTTGTCCAGATAGGCGTTGTCTCAGGAATCCCTACAACAACAATACTAATGTGAGTAGACGCCAGACAAGGATCTGCGGGTAATCTCTTAACTTTTGGAAGGCACATTCATATGCAAGTCTTTCCCAAAATGAAGATCTACAAGGAAATTTCAAATATATCTCAAAAAGCCAATGCAATCTACTGTTCCTCTTACCTCTGCACCAGCGGCAACGATGTTTCTTGCCCTCTGGTCAACGGAGTTGGCAACCTTCACATCATTGACGGAACAAAGGAATGCATCTGGCTACAAAACAAGAAGACAAGGTCTCATCCAACTGTCTGGAGAAGCTTGATCTGAATGGGGAAGAATCTGAGATTAAACCGTCCACATTTAGGAACAGAGACTCTACCTGGCATAAGATCTCACCTCCAAACATTGCCAAATCGATCTACAGAGTTTCAAAAATAACCAAAAGATCACTAAAACACTCAAGAATGAAATCAGCAGGTATATTAAGGGTGATGTGGAAGACGATAATGGAAACATGGAGAGATCATAAAATCACAAACCGGGAGAATCCTAGCCAAATAAGGTGCAGCAATACCCACAAATCCATCGTTCTGTCCAGTATTCCGAAGAACTACGCTGCTTACACTCTTGCCCAAAAGCCACTGCAAAACTCCAACTTCTTGTTCAGGAGTATATGTATTTTCCATCTCAACGGACCCAGACATGTAGCACATGGAACCTACAGCACCGTATCAAATTAGTAACACAAAGTCAATTAAAAACCGGTCTGACAAAACTGAAAAGAGAAGTCACTTTTCAGGGGAAGTACCAGGCTTAGCAATGACTCTCTCCTCCGACTTTAACATTATCTGAAAAAAACGATCTAACAGTTGGAGAAGATAAACGAATATAGTATACAACTGCAGAATGCGAAGATCAAGCTAATTGTAGAAAACGATCTACCTGAACAACTTGGGCTTCACCACCCAAAATCTGGAAAGGTGTAATTGTATCTTGTTGACTCTGCAATAACATGATCACTTATGAGAAACACACAACATTGTTAACAATTGCATAATACACACTGAGAAATTTCTATATTGGTTTGGCAACCACAACAGATACATGGAAATTTAAAATCCCCCCATTGGCCTGATCATACGTTCTTCCAAGTGATCAAGACTAATCGAAGGAAACAGCAACGAATCAACATGGAATTCTCTAACTCCTACTTACAATGAACCTCAAATACTATCAAATTGCAAATGAAATACACGGCCCCATCATTTCTCTCGGCTATAGCGAATAGTAAACACGTAAAAGCAAATTCTAGCGAGATGAGGGAAGAGAAAAAGCAAACCTGGTAGACATAAGGCTGAAATGGAGTTGAAAAAAACGGTGCGGCCATGGTGGTGACGACCGCAGATTCAATCACTTTCACTGACGAGCTCTAACAATTCTCTCGACAGATCCGAGAGGACAATAGAATTCGCCAGTCGATTTGGAACGATCAGATCGCAAACGAAGCCTGTAGAAATTCGAAATTTCACAGAGTAGAGCTGTTCGGCGAGTCAGCGACTCCACGACGAACGACAGAAGAAAAAAATTACTAATGCTGGATCTTATTGGCAGAAGACACGTGGATGATTACGTGGAAAAATCTCATTGGTTATGACAAGCAAATACACGTCTACCTTTTCCAGGCAATGTAACTTTCGAATCATTAAGAGGGATAGATGAGAGAATAAGAATTTAATACTTTCGTTGCAACCACACGTAAATACCGAAAAACCAAAAAAAAAAAACTCTGTCCATGTTGGGTCGTCAAAAGGCTTTGTAATTTCTATCAAACCCTCTATGCGAGTTAGAGGGCCCTTGTGTTATGCTCAGTCCTTACAGCGTTATGCTTCGACTTTCTAGTACAAAATCATCCTAGAGACGATCCTTTTGAGTACAACAAACAAGAAATAGAGAAATAAAAGCAACAGAAACTTTTTAGACGCCATGACCCGAAGATTGACTCGAACACCATATCTCCTCATCAGCTGCAACACCGAAGTACATACCACCACCATCCCTCGCAACATCATTCTCGCAGCATCTCCAGGTCCAGCAACATTTCTCGCATCCTCCTCTGATACGTCTACATATGACACCGACTCTGCGTTCTGCTTCTTCTCTTTGTTGGTCTCAGATTGGTCTAGCCCGAGACGTTCATTGGCCCAGATAGAGATGTTGATAAGCAGCTTAGCCATCCACGCCACCTCATCTTCTGACACGGGACGGGTCATCCTGTCTCCTTTGTACTTCATTCCTCCTGCAATTTGGTTACTAGCACCGCGTGGCTTGAAGAGCTCGTCACGGTTTCTATGGGGCTGATCCAGCTCTAAGGAAAAAGCGATTGGTTTTATGACATGCCCGCCAAAGAAGTTTGACACCACTTGTTTTAGTGAATCTATACACTTAAGGGCCTCCGCGAGGGTTTTCTCTGGCACAGCTTGCAGTTCGGCTTCTGCGCGCAGTATGAATAGCTGCAGATGCATATAAAAAGCCTTCAGTGAAGTTAAATAAGTTTTAACCTCTTGTCGATTATGTGCCAACTGCCAAAGGATCCTAGTGTAACATCAATTGAAATAGAGTATCGGAAACAAGGAAACAAGTGTGTCGGAAACAAGGAAACAAGTGTGCACATGTGCTCAAGGATTCTGATGACTCAGTGATACAACTACAGTACTGAAAAACCTAAAACGCAGAAGACTAGTCCTGAAAGCATATTAACGGAAGTGATTCTTTTGATTGTCAAGCAACATATTCTCATGTTCCGTTAATTCGGAGAGAATCCTATAAAACAAGAAAACAAGTAAATGGGAAGCTATTCCTATTCTTAATCACAGTTCTAGATATCTTCCTACACAAATATCCCCATCTTCTGATTTCTACTCCTAACCTATCATTGCAGTAGATAATAAAGGGAAGACACTCACCTGAAGCAGTTGTTGTCCGCCATCTTCACCATCACTAAAGAGTTTCAAGTCTTTGTTCCAGTTTTCATGCAAGAATGACCCATCAGCGTTGCTCTCACACAGCCCATCTTCCCAGTCCTGAAGTTCCACAAGCACTTGGACGTTATTTTTATAGTCTATCTACTTATGTGAGAGGTGATGCTTTCGCAGTGTTTTGTTTACTATGAAAAATGCTGGTGGCAAGAAATTTTCCAAGTGTGTTATGATGACAAAAGCTAAATTCTTCAGGTTTATTATGATGACAACCCAGAGAACAGATAACAAATGGCGTTGAGGAAAAAAAATATGCATACCTTCAACTGCTCACGGATAGATGGAGCAAATCTACACAATTCGTTCACTGCTGAGCTTCCTTGTCCAGTTTGTTTAGAGTGAAAAGCTTTGTCAATATTCTTCATCAGAACCAAAAGTTCTTTCGAAGATGTCAATATACTCATCACCTATTTAGAGAAACACAATAGAATCATTGAGTCACATTAAGATTTAAAAACAGAAGTCCTGCAATTAACATTCCAAGAGATAAAACGATAACTGAGGAAGTTAGCCTAAGCCAAGGATCAAACCTTCAGAATCATCTGAGTTATTGTTTCTGGATCTGTGTGGAGGAACTTGTGCGCAAAGCCAATAAAATGCATAACCAGAGAACTGTAGTAAAGATAATTGGATATGACATAGCTCTGCCACAAAGAGGTGTATCCACAAACGCGTGATTCATAAGACTCTTCCTTGTTCACATCTTTTACAGATCCATTTAAAGCAGCTTCGAGATCTCTTAAATCATCCAAACTGGTCAACCATGGTTCCAGATACATAACCCAGATGGAGAACACCTGCGATGCATTCTTAATAGAGCTTCTTATGGGGCAGAACAAGAAACTCCTCAATATGAAACGATAAAGCGGCCTCTGTAAATAGGTATTCCAAGAAGTAAGCGGCCTGAGGCTCAAATTAGCGACATGGAATGACGATCCCGAAGTCGGTGTCTTCCACCGTGGACTCTCGCCATACTCAATATAGTTTTCACTCCCAACACCACTTGTAACCCAGCTCAAATTCAGATACTTCACAAGCAACTTCACTACTTCTTCTAACCCACAAGTAGGTGGAATCTCCTCCACAGCAGAATGGAAAGGAGGAGCCACACCAAAGGATTTAGCCGTAACAACAGGAAACGGTGAGAAGTCATTCTCAACAAGCCAATAGTGTACGAACACATTCACCAAGAACTCAGCTCTTGCCATCACCGACCCATCATATCCATTTCCGTAATGCAAAAGAGAGCTACGATAAGGCTGGTGTGCGTTTAAGTCAAAAACAGGCACAAAAGCTTTCAGATAGGCGTAAACAAGCCTTAGGTAGATATTACACTCCAATTTCTGATCGGAATCACGCTTGCTACTCCCTGGAAAACCTTTCATAAGAGTCCAGCTTTCTAGCTTAAACATCTTTCTCTTTTGGATGGGATTCACAGCTGAAATCTCGTTGTTTCCTCTACAAACCGGATAATAAGAGAGCCAAAACATGTAATACTCGAAAATATTTAGCCGAACTTCATACGATGAACCCCGAAGCGAATCCTCCTCAATTTTACCTTTTAAAAAGGGGCAAAGATTCGATAACGCACTTCGATCCTTCTCGCTCGAGAGCATGAATCGAGCATACTCCGGCAGACGTTCGGTGGGGAAAACGTACTTAACAAGAGATAGCTTGTCAACGGCAAAGATTGAGCTCATGAGTATCCCACTAGGTGATAAGAGAGAGAAAACTCTTTCCGCTAAATTCGAATCGTTAGCCCCCAAGATTACATCGACCCAACCCTTCGGCGGCACCGACGACTGTGCCGGAGATGAAGCGGTTCCGTCGCCGAAGCCGAAGAGCTTGCAGATTAAACTCGGAAAGGTAACAGAGAAGAAATGGCGACACTGATCAGGCGTATGCGACTGCAGAAACGATTCCACGGAAGAGCAAGCGGCGGAGATATTCGACGGCGTCGAAGCTGCGAGTATAGCCGACGCTAGGTCTTGGGATTGCGAGAGCGAATCGACGGTGTAAGAGTGTGGAAGCATCGCTAATACAGTGAATTAGACGAAGCCGAAGACGAAACTAGGGTTTCTAACCAGAGAGAGGGAGAGAGGGGGGTTTACGCCGGAGAAGAAGGGTTTGAAATGCAAGGTGAGCCAAATCGCGCCTTGTAAATGGGAACCCCATAGGGAACAAATATCAACACGAGGAAGAAAAAGAAGGGCGTTACATGCCACGTGGCACCTTCTCGAATCACCGCGGTTAAGTTTCCATTACAATCGAGTTTTACCAAAGAGTTCATCGGTGAAGGCGGGAACACTCTCGAGTCATCGCCCTAAATTGAACGCTTCTGATTTTGACACGTCAACAAGGCCGTTTAAGCCCATGAAAACCCATTTAGGTGTAGCCCATTCGGCCTTCCGATTCTGTAAGCAACACTGAACTTCCAGAGTTACAGAACACTGAAAGCTGCCAGCAAAAACCAAGTTTGAGAAAATTTTCCAATCTGGATTCAGTGTTATATAAAAGTGAAACATTTAGCCAAATTCATCGTAATGCAGTCTGAATTCTACTAATACTACAAGCATTGAATCTCCTCATTAGAATTACACTATCAGCTATTGTAGAACCAGCAGTACCAATGAAACCCAATGAAGCACAGCTGCAAACAACTTCTTCTATGTAAAGTTGCACATTAGATACTTCACGAGGATAGCAACGGTTCTGCGTCTTCTTGGTAGTATCAAGATTCATTGGTATCGATCCGAATTTCTGACCATGACGAGCAGAAGCAAGCTCTTGTTGTGTTTGTAGTACTACTTCATCCTGTTCCTTCAAGGAGTGAAGCTTAAAATTTGAAGAGTTTCTAGACAAATCACCCAAGTAAGTTCCGGTCCAGTTGCTTTCAGCAAGATCTGTCATTACAAACACGTGAATCGGACGCCGAGTCTTCTTCTCTTGGCTCAGAGATTCCAACTTCTGGATTAATCCTGCAAACGTGTTCTCTCTGTGATTCTTGAACTGTCCATCAAGCAATCTAAGCTGCGCACAAAGAAACGGCGCCTTTATCGTATCCGAGGCAAGTCTCTTTCCTGCATTCGTTATCTCAGGGACAAAAGGAAGAAACTCAACTTTCTTAATCAAAGACTGTATCTTTCTATCTCTCGGAGATTCACGGATGTCTATATACAGTTGGGAGCCTTTGTATGGAGCCGTGAAGAGGCTTCCAAATGCAAGAATCGCTACAGAACCAGCTACAGTACCATCTCCTAGGCTCTTATAAACATCACGCCGTCTTCTCACAAAAAACATTTTCTTTTTCTTCTTCATCTTTTCATCAGGCTGGAACGAATCCAATCTTCCATCGGAATCAGAATCGCCGTTCTTATTATAAGTCCAAACCGTTGTTCTACAATCTTCATCTACAGCATACAAACAATTATCTAAATTTCCATGAACCTCAGATAACAGAGAACCACACTGCTCCAGAGCTTTGTGAGATGGAGATTGTTCTGATAATTTGCTCGAGCACAGAGTTTCCATGTCAACACCACACAACAGAGAGACGAAATACCTAAGATCAATGACTCGAACACCCGAAGAAGATACCACAGACGAAATGTCGACAATGTCAGCCATGGAAACGTACCTGTAACACACAATGACCTTAATAAATACAGTAACCAAACACGAGACGGGAGATTTCAATGAAAATTGAAGCTGACCTGCCAGCTCTGAGAAGCTCGATCGAGTGATTCCAAACTGAGACTCGAATCTCGCTGGGACTCAAAACACGAAATTTAGGGCAACTACCGAGAACCACAGAGTGATGATCGAGAACAGGAGGAACGACTAGGGTTCGATTAAGTATTCCCGCCATGAAAACCGCGTTCTTGAATTCTGAAAGCTGATTGCTGAACCCGCTGTGTGGAGCGTACCAGAGAAATTTCTGTCCCAGAAGAGTGCGGGTTAGTATCTCGGATCTGCACTGCGGGAATTGAACAGATCCGGAGAGAGCAGAGATCGAAGACATGGGATTGGGTATCTCGGAGTAAGTGAAGAAGAAGATGAAAACAGCGAAGAGAGATACGGAGAAGAGAAAGATTCGAGATTTGCTCGTTTGCTTCTTCCTGATCGGCCATTGCCGCGCGCTTGTTCTTCTGAGATTGAAAATGGCGTCCATGTTTTTGCCAGTTTTGAGTGTTCGATTTTTCTTGATTTCGCCATTGTTAGTCGGAGCTGCTGAAAGAACTTATGGGCTTCTATAATTGGCCCAATGTTGGATAAAAGATTGTTTCCGGTTTAAACAATTTCGGCTTAGTTTAAAATTTCGTTTCCAATTCGGTTGAGTCTGGTCAGAGGATAAACGCCAGTCTTTTTATTTATTCAAAACTAATATCAGTTCCCTAAACAACAATATTAGTAGTTTAGTACACATTAAACGCGAATTAATGCATCCTAAAGGCAAAATAAAAGCATACAAATACAAAGAAAAATGTAAGAAACAAATAATTTGTATTGTTCCCCCGCCCTTTTCTTTTCTTTTTCCATCTTTTTTTTTTCTCTAATAATCAAAGCTGAACTAAAAGACCCTACGCAGTTAAACAATCTAACAAAGCAGATCTTATTTAAGTTACTGTGACCAAGAACTAACCTGTAAACCCCAAACCAGAGACAAGAGAATATCTTCCTGCAAATTGCCATTTTAGACCGCATGTATCACGCTGTTGATGTCTGAACTATCAGAGCTAGGGTTCGGGTGAAACGCAGATTGTCTCGTAGAAGAACCTCCACCAAGCTTCAGCGAAAGAGACTGATCGGATTCTCCATTCTTCTTTGAATCTCCAAGGCTGAGCTTAGACATACCGAGAAGCTCGTCGACATTGATAGGAGCTTTGGAGTGCACAGCAGTTGGTCTGAGAATCTCATGTGTTTCCTCTTTCTTGGTTGGTTCAGGAACATAACCAGCAGGCCATAACGGGAATGGAAACGGGTAATACGGCGAGAAGTAGGCCGGATATAGTACAGGGAACGAGCCAGGTAGTTGCGGCTGCGATTGCAGTTGTGTGGTTTCTTCTAGAACGGAAGAAGAGGAAACAGCAGCGGTTACGGTTGGTTCTCCGGTGGTAGAGTTTGTGGAGTCCATCGATTCACATTCTTCGATTTCCAAGATCGACGGTGCTTGAAGTGAGACAGGAGCAAGTGTCTGACGAACAGTGTCAGCATTTTGCATGTTCGTTTCCACGGGAAGATTATCTGCTTCCGGTTCTTGCAAATCCATCGGTATATCTCCAGCCTACAAGGAAAAATTACAGCTTAATTAAGGAGAATAAACAAGAAAAGGATTGCATTTCAACATTTTGTACTTCTGAGACCAAAAAGGGTTTATGAATCCATGCTTTTAAGCTTAGGACTAGCCTTATCTGTATTCAAATGATATCATCAAGCATATCCATTTAAAGGCAGGCCAAGCCAAGCCATATACATCTTATTTAATCAAATGCATTATAGCTTCGGATCATTTGACTCAGTATCTCTAACAAGTTTAATACGGAAAAAAAGGTGCTTAAGACCGATCAAATGAAGATGGACTTACCTCATCAGGAACCATATCAAAGAGACTAGAACGTCTTTTACGACGAGACACATTGGATTGTCTAATGAAGTACTTCTGAGCATGGCTAGCAACTTGTGTTGGTGTCCTTGTGGTCACATAGTTTCTTGAAATGCCTCTCCAGTCCCCTTTACCCAGCTTCTGTAAACCTAATAAGAACATCCTGTGTTCTTCCTCTGTCCATGGAGTTCCTACAAAACCCAAATCAAACAAACATATCCATAAACAATCCCACAATTGCATTAAACTTGATTGGATTACAAAATTCTTGAATAAACACATCAAACCCTTGTAAAGATTGATCAGCGACTTTTGTGCAAAGATAAACACAGACGCACAAAATATCCAATTCAATTTATTCAATGTTCAAGAAAAAAAGAAAACCCAGAAATGGGATATGAATCAGAGAGATATAGATACCTTTCTTTCTCTCGCGGCTAGAGGAAGAGCCAGCAACGAAATCCTCAGAAGCGTAACCGTCGCCAGCGACATGGTCAGGGACATCACCCGGAGAACCCGGAGTATTCGACCCGTTTCCTCCGTGCCCACCCGATCCAGAGCCCGAGTAATGGCTAAGATTACCCATACTAGCACTTTTCCGGATCGAACCTTCGGTGAGCCTAACGCCAAAAAGCTTCACCCCACGATTGGGGCATGTACGAGAGTTGTGACCATTGTGATTGCAGTGAGAGCATCGACGAGTCATGATGACCCGAACCCGATGTTCTTATCCTTAAATCGGATCTGATCAGAGTTGAAACGTGTTCTTCGTCGCGGATCGGATCTTAGCTGATCGCAGAAGCACAGAATCTAATTGAAAGAGAGAGAGAGAAAGAGAAGGAGGGGAAGAAAGACAATAGTATCAGTTTATCTGGTCGGAATTATTACAAAATTCGATTTATCTGGCCGATTTTATTGTAAGATATTTTTTATTTTTCTCTGCTGTTGTTAATTTGTTATGTTAATATATATATAGTGGGAAAATATTTGGTGTATCTTAGGTGGATTTTTCCTTTTTCTTTTCCATTTATCATATTGACTTATAGTCAATGCAAGGTGTCCACATTAATAGATTTCTTTCTGGAAAAAATCATATTACTTACTTGAACCGAGTCAAATTAGCTATTACTGTTATATATAATGCCACTTTTGTATTAAACTTGAAAGGATACATAACAGGTTGTCTAATTATAAAAGTTCAGTTTTCCTACAAAATAGTTTATCTGTCAATTCTTTTATAACATGACAAGACATATATCTTAAATTAATTATGTGAAATATGTATCTTAATTAATACCACAACAAATCGGATAAATGTAACTTATGCTATTTCTATATATACACATATTGTCGATAATAGGTTAGCTTGTAGGTTTGATGCTCTTATAATTTATCCAAAAATATCGTAAATTGGATATTTACGAATTACTTATAATAATATGATTCATAATATTACAGCTTTTACTTTTAACAAAAAAAAATATTACAGCTTTAACATGCTGTCTAAATTTACTATAAAACACAAATTAGTGCCAAAATCGATGGAGCAACTGTTTCTTGTGTTTTTTCTGTATACACACATCATCGACGATAGGCTAGTTTGTAGGTTTAATGTTTTTATAATTATTCAAGTGTTGTACTCGTAAGCTAGATAATTACGAATCCCTTATAAGAGTTCATATTTTATATCTAATTATATACAAAAATCTCTGGTCATGTTGAAGTTAAGTAGTATTAATCTGTAATATATGTTATCTTTTAAAAAAAAGGCACATGATTGCGATTTCATTTTTTTGCTGATATTACAAATGCCCAACAAGGCCATTTATATTATTTTTATAAGGCGCTACCGTAAGTCCATAATCCATATCATATGTAAAAAAAAAAAAAAAAAAAAATCTTATACTTGAGGATTTTACTATGTAATAAATTAATTATCATGGTACCATTATCATAATCATTATACCCTTAAGAAAAATTAAAACTAAAGGCATCACAGTTTTTGTTTATGAACAAAAAGAAAGGACGAGCGTACAAAAAAAAAGGACGAACGTAGATGATCACGATATACACAATGAGTGGATGGGTTTAGTCATTTAGATGAGTAGGTCCCACGTCTCAAAGGCCACGTGGACACAAGGAGAACGGCCTATCCAGAAAGGAAAATATTCATTTTGCTTTGGTCAGATCTTATAGGATTCCCTGAGATATTTTCTCAGTCGTCCACGTGGCTTTCTTCGTCGGTGGAATATTCGATTGCACACCTTCGCATATTTGGATCTCACTATTTCAGTGTTATGGCCTTATGGGTTTGTTGTCATTAATCATCGTGGTATGTAAAACGTTACCCAAAACTCCACCTATTAACAAATAATTCTACTAAGAGGCCTTGAATCATTGTTGTATGCAAAACTTATTTCTAGCTTTTTTATCCATCTATGTAGTTTGAATATGAATTACAGTGTTACCACGAGGCAGTGAATGTTTTGTTTAAGTGAGATTGTAACAAAGTTTGACGGGAAACCCAAATAAAAAGTATCACAAGAACTTGGATCTTCGGCCTACTCAAATCTCAAGGCCCAAGTGGTGTCTGCTTCTACTAAATGATTGAACATGATGTATCCACAACTATTTTGTTTGGTGGAATGTGAAAATCCGAAATTATCTTGTCACGTTGAGTATCATATTCAACGGATTTCTCAAAATTAGGAAAAAAGACAAGAAAATTTATGTCGGAAGTCGGAACATTAAATGCTCAATTTATTTCGTACTACTGACATCGACAACATTAACTATTGTACTCTCCTCTTATTTTGGCGGGTTCCCAACAGTATTTTCACCAGAGAAAACAATAGTATATAACTATATTTATGCGAATTTTCCACAAAAAAACATATGACATGTAAAACAGTAAAAAAGCAAATATTTTTAGATGCGGTATTAATTAGAAACCTTTCTGTTTCACGAGTAGTAATTATAATTTGAAATGTCGAATGGTTTCTTTTCTCGAAAAAAGGAGGGAAATGGATTTAGGAATATAAAAATGATTGGAAGAAAATAAAATAAAAATCGAATTAAATGCAATTCAACAACCATAAAGTGAATGGAATTGAATTTTTGCTGGCACCAAAATCTGATCAAAACCTGGTCCCCTTTCTTTTTGGCTAAGCTACAGTTTCTCGTCTCTGCATTTACTTCTTCATTCTTCCTCCTCTCTGCAAATTTGAATTCACTCCCTCTGGACCTTCTCTTGTTATAACTCTTCATACCCCCATTTCTTGCTTTGTCGCATTTCGCTTTGGAGACATTGATCAACCTTTCATGTTCAACCATCTGGGTTTAACATTTGAATGAGATGGGTGATTTCGATTTGAATAAAGACGATAAAAAGCAGAGAAGAAACAGAGTAAATGAGGTTTCTTGGCATTGTCCAGGTTCTTACAAACACGGACGGTCTAAAAGGTATATCTTAAGCTCAATCTTGACTACACTGAATCTATATGTTAACTGCATTAAAAAAAAGGATTGCTGTTGAGACTAAACGCCTAAGCTTCAGGGTTTGAAAGTTGCTCTCACTGTTTCTTGCACATCAAGTGTTTGCTTGGACTAGAAGACATAGAAACTGTTATGCAAAAAAAAATCTCATCTACAGCTTTCTTCTGTTTATAATGTTTCTTCCTAAAGATAATTCTGGTCTATAATATTTCCAGTGCATCGTCAGAGCGAGATCTCCAAGCTACTAGTGATAGAGCTTCAGAGTCTGCCAAAAGTTTCACTAGAATGCAAGTAAGACCTAGAAATTATATTTCATATGATTATTTTGTTCATTTGAAGTTGATCTGTTCTTTTTTTTTTCTTTTCCTACAGACATCCAATGTGAAAACGACAGCAAACAAGAAACCAAAACCTCTGCATAACCGTGAGATATTTATCAAAAAGAATCCGCCTTCTAACGATAGAGCCTCTTTGGAACGAGATGTAAGCTCGAGTTATGTAACATTCATTATCAATGATCCAAAAATGAATTGATTTAGTTATTGAATTCATGTGAATGGTCTTTGTGATTGTGGCTACACAGGTTGAGCAGCTTCATCTTCGTCTACAACAGGAGAAATCTATGAGAATGGTGTTAGAGAAAGCAATGGGCCGTGCTTCAAGCAGTTTATCTCCAGGGCACAGACATTTTTCTTCTCAGGTAAATCTCTTCAGAAAATCCAGCCTACTTTTTGTTCGCAAATGCATCTCTGTGAGACTTTGTTTATGTGATTTGGATGATTCAGACGAAGGAACTTATCACCGAGATCGAATTGCTAGAAGCAGAGGTTGCGAATCGCGAGAACCATGTGCTCTCTCTGTACCGGAGTATCTTTGAAGAGACAATAAGCAAAGCATCTTCAGATAAAAACTCAGTGATTTCCTCTCCAGCTCGTCATATAAAGCAGCCACCAAGAAAACACCCAAGTGTCATTTCAAATGCATTTTGTTCCTCCAATAACTTCACTCTAAAGCCTTGGCACGCTCTGGTTACTTCTAAAGATTTGAGCAGAAAAACCTCCAAAAAGGATCAGACTTCTCAGTTCCAGGACAAAAACTGTATTCCTTCAATAACAAGTTGCTCAGGCCAAGCAAAAGTATATGAAAAAGCTAATTTTACCCCTAATTTCATCTCATGAGAGTTTTTCTAAGTGACTTATATATTTGTTTTGTTTTATTTCAGTCACATTCAAAGGTTTCAGTAACAGAGAAATCTCCATCAGAGAGACGTCTAAAGGATCATTTGTACCAATGCCCAAGCAGATTGTCTGAAGAAATGGTCAAGTGTATGGCTTCAGTGTACTTCTGGCTCTGCAGCAGTGCCATGTCAGCAGATCCTGAGAAGAGGAAGAGAAGTTCACTAATCCTATCTAGATCGGCGACTAGCGATGTGGTCATCCCCAAGAACGTTATGAGTGAAGACCGAGCTTGGTCTTGCAGATCGGTAATGGAAGTATCTTGGATCTCATCAGACAAGAGAAGGTTTTCTCAAGCATCATATGCTATTAACAACTACAGGTTAGTCCAACAATTAGGTTCTTTTTTTTTTCCAAATGCCTCTTGATTGATATCGATTACAAGAAGACATGATTTTGACTTACAGGCTGCTTGTTGAACAACTGGAGAGAGTTACTATAAATCAAATGGAGGGGAATGCAAAGCTAGCATTTTGGATCAACATCTACAATGCTCTCCTTATGCATGTACGAACATAATGATCTGATAAAAAAAAAAATCCTTTTGCCTTTGCTAATTCATGATTCTATGAGGATAATTTTCTATATATGTTCTCCAGGCATACTTGGCATATGGTGTACCTGCTAATTCTATTAGAAGGTTAGCTTTGTTTCACAAGGTACTCTACTTTTATCTCAATGCTTAACTTGGAGATAGATTCATATTTGAGCAGAGTCTAATGGGTATCATTGTGTAGTGCAGTCTGCGTATAATATCGGTGGACACATCATAAATGCAAACACCATTGAATACTCTATCTTCTGCTTCCAGACTCCACGAAATGGACGTGTAAGAAGCATCATTCCTTATTCCTTTACGCCATTGAAATCAAATTTGACACTTATGCATTCAATCATATAACCTACATTGCAGTGGCTTGAGACCATTATCTCCACCGCCTTGAGGAAAAAACCAACCGAAGATAAAGTAAGCTCAAAGTTCAGCCTTCACAAACCAGAGCCACTTCTCTGTTTCGCTCTTTGCACTGGTGCTCTCTCAGATCCAGTGGTAACTTTTTTAATCTCTATTACTAATCTAATTCACATATATTGCAAGGATTTAGAGTTGGACTTATTTGGCCCTCATATGATTGAATTGATTAATTGCAGTTAAAAGTATACACTGCAACAAACGTTAAAGAGGAACTAGAAGCTTCGAAAAGAGAGTTTCTACAGGCAAACGTGGTTGTAAAGATGCAGAAGAGAGTGTTTTTACCAAAGATTATGGAGAGGTTCACAAAGGAAGCTTCTCTTAGCTCTGACGATTTGATGAGATGGTTAATAGATAACGCAGACGAAAAGCTTGGGGAATCGATACAAACATGTTTGGAAGGTAAACAAAACTACAAGAAAGCGTCTCAGGTCTTTGAATGGTTGCCGTACAGTTCAAGGTTCCGTTATGTTTTCTCAAAGGACTTGATGGAAAAAAAGCCTTGGTGGGTTTAAAAAGGGATAATTGCTAATAAGTTCTCTCTAGTTTCAAGAGAGCCTTGTATGTTTGTAATGAGACAATGGAAGATTAACAAAAAGGCTTAAAGTTATAATCATCAGGCCTCAATTCCGCACATTTTGGATGGTAATTCTGAAGGATAAAGTTATAATCAGTGACAACCCAAAAGAAAGGACATAGGAAAGTTCAGCAACTATTTTAAAAGAAAAGCATCAACGATTTTATCAGCATATCTCTTGGTACTCTATGGTATTGCTGAAGAGCATTGGATTTGAGTTCTTGTGGACTTGGAAGCTTTATGGAATTTTATTTGAATTCATGGGGTTCCATAGGCTGCAGAATTCAAGTTTAGCAAATCAACATCTTTTCCAAAAACCTAGAGAAGAAGAAAAATCATAAAAGTTTTTGGAGATTATTCTAAAATGTAGGATTTAGGGTGTAAGTGTAACAGCTGATTTCAAACGTCAAGAGAATGATAAACAACACTTTTTGATAAAAACAGACTTCAAAACAATTTCCAAATTAAGAATTCAACATAAACATTCCTCCAAACTGGATAAACTCAAGTATTGAACCAAATAGTAGCTCGTGTATAAGTCTAAAAATGACATTATCTTTTTCTTTAGAACGGGCCTAATAACAGTATCTCGATCATTCATATGAGATAATATAAACAAACCAAAAGTGCACATCTATCTATCGTTTCGGAGAAAAAAAAAAACTTCATTGAATTAGTTGATCTATATCAACTCTCTGCTTAGAGACGCATCTGCAAGCGTCCACTCGTCCATAAATAAACCAAGAGTGCATACAGCTATGTAGCCTATGTTGTTGCATGCAGTGTTACGCAACAGTTGAAGATATGATAGGAAGAAATACACAAAACCATCGTTAGCTGAATATTAACTGCTAAATGTGCAATGTTCATAATTTACAGTTTGATCCAGTCGACGGACTTTAAATAATCCGAATACGTTGATCCCAATCTAAAAAATAAACAAATATAAATGTATATCGAACCATGGTTTGTCACTGAGAAGAGATATTGGGTATGTCGATCATATTTTGTTTCCGTCGAATATAAATGAAAACAAAAACATAAAAATCTCTTTTTCTTAAGAAAAAAGGAATGGATGTTTGACCGTTGACTGCAAATATTTAACTAGGAATGCACGTGTGGGTGTCACACACACACGTGTGCTTCGCTGTAATGGGTGGTTTTAGCTCGCATAGGAATATGTGCGCCACGTAAGTTCCACATGGGAAGCAAAAAAACTACGCACCAACCCAACTTGCTCCTCTCTTTCCATTTTCTATTACAATTTCGAAGCTTACTCTGAAGTTGCTTCAAACCATTTTCATTCTTTTTCCTTATAATCATTGATGAAATTATGACTTAAAACACGATATCATTGATGAAATTATAATCGCTATCTTTATTTTTGGCATGGGATCTCAATGATCATACTTACCAACAGTAATAATTAACAGCCAACATGCCTCAATTAATGTCAAAGACAATCAAAATATTAAGGATTATTCGTCCATGTTTTATTTTACTATTTATAGCTTAAGTTATCTAAAATATTAACAACAATCATGTGATGCAAACCTCAAATTCTGAGCTTTTTTAGAAGCGGAATAAGTTTCGTTGTCTGATGATCATAATTATGCATGTTGGTTAATTTTGAGTCTTAAAAAAAAATCAAATATTCCAGTTACAATAGATCGAGTACATGTGAGAAGACAATTGGACGAATATAGAAAATAATTGGCTCAGTTGGGTTTAGAAATAAAGTATTAAATATCGCCAATGATGACATCGTTCTACGGCCAATGCTGTAAAGAACAATCAAAGGCATTGATTGTTCTAAGCAATGAAACATATGATTAAGCAAAACCACAATTATTAGTCCTAAGCAATTCAAAACATATGGAATGATTACAATATATACTGTCACACAAATAAAATATAATGTCCTATGATTTTTTTTTTGTTTTGTAAATTGTGTGACACAGCTTTGGATCTGTGATGTAGTAGGTCACTAAAAAAATGTTTTCAGAAAGCAAAAAGAACTAAATGATAAGGTTATATTCAATTCTGTTTTTAGATCGTATGAAAGATAAAATCATTCTTTGTGGATTTCCCTTTTTCATCGAGAGGAAATGATTAAAAGAAAACATGCGCGCGTGGACATACTTCGTTACTGCGCGTGGCTCAGGAGAGCGAACACGTGGGACAGCAGATCACACTGAAACACTACTCCGACATGTTGTCGGATCTTCTGTAAAAGCGTGGGTCCCACCATTCATTATTTCTGTAACCACGAAACCATCGTATGCTCTCAATAATTGTCGCCAATTGACGAATTTCTTTACTCTTTACAAGTGCGCGTTAGAGACACGTGTTTCACTTTATATCTTTTGGAGCGTCAACAAAGAAAATATAGAGCAACGCCGTTAATTAAGTAAATAACACAATTTATTTATATCTTAACTTAAACACTGTTTTGACTATTTTTTCATTTTTTTAAAAAAATATTATATATATAATATTAGATTTGGATAGTAAATTTAGACTTGCAAAAAAAACAGTATTATTTTTTATTATTAAAAATTTTAAATTGTAATTAAACCAGTCAAAAAAATAATTTTAATTTACGATAGATAATATATTAATAATTTTAATGAAAACTAATATTCTTAAAAGTTAATTATAAAATAAAAATGATCAATAAAAAAGTGAAATGAAACTATTACAATACTACTTTTTTTTTTTGCTTCGACGTGTGAAATATTTTTAAAATTAGTGGGTTGTAGTAGTATTTTTAGAAATAAAAAACAATGGAGTATTATTGTATTTCATCTCAAAATTAAACAACTTAAGCAAGCAAATTTCAACAAGTTTTTCATTGATTGAGCATGATATGACGTAGGCGCGTGAGGAAACAACACAACACGCACGGTCACGCGGGATGACCCACATGCTCCATCTCCCAACCCATGTTACTGTAAGCAAAGTGACTAAACACTCTTGATCAAATATTATTGCTCACATTTAAAATTCAAAAATATGTCAAATTAAAACGGAAGATAAAAGGAGAAGCACAAACATTAATAGCTTTTACTGACGGAAGAAAGAAAAAAAAAGCTAGCTTTCAAAATGTCATTGTTGATGAAAGTAGAAACCATGATGATGTTATTCATATGTAAATATTCACCTCACATGTATATGATTGGTTTATACCATTGATTGGCCCACAACTTTGGAGAAGTTCAGATTCATTTGGATTGCGTTTTGTACCAACCACTGGATTTATCCACTTTTCTCATTATATATATCCTTCCCTTGAAAATATATTTTTCAAAAATAAATCTGGACAAATAATTGGCTACACTATTGGTGATTTGACTCAGATTAGCATGGCGTAACTAATCAAATAATTGGATACACTATCGTATGAAGCTTGATAATTATGAAGTACAAGATTAAAATGAAGAGCTAAATTCAATATTCGTTAGCTTCGAGTCTACATTACATGCTATAATTTTTTTTTTTTACAGCACATGCTATAAAATACAAGCTTGTTGTTTTAGAAATTACGAAAATTGAATAAGGTATGCGAGATTCTCCCAATTGTGGATTAGTTTTTTAGTGACCGCACATTTTTATTGAGTTTTAATTCGTAAAACACAAACACAAATACTGTATGCATATGGCTATTTGGCTATTTTAAGAGTATTTATAATGTATCTTTCTGTTCATCCTAAAATAAATTAATTGCAAAAAATAATCAGTTTTTAATGCATTACTATCTTTTCTATTTTTAAAAGAATATTTCAAGTATTTTTTTCTATTTTATTAATAATTGTTAAATATATATATATACATATTTTAAAAATTTACAAATCGATTTCTTAATTTAATTTCTTTCAAAACTTGCATAAATTATTATATTATTTAAAATTTACTATTATAAAATAAATAAAAACAAATTTATTATATGTTATTTACATTTTAATTTGAGAGATCAGAGTGTTTGAACATATAATAACATTCTTAAAAATAATTTAATTCTAAAGTGAAATATAAAATAAGATGATTCTATATTTAGAAGAGAAATTAATATTATTCTATTTTAAAATTAAAAATAAGATAGAAATAGACCGGATGTTATTTCAAAATAAAATTCGATATCAAACTTGAAATAAAATTAGAGAAGCTCTAAATAAATGGATTTTTTTTGGAAAAAGCAAGAGAGAACAAATGAATGTTATTGGGGAAGTACAAAAAAAGAGAAAGACATGGCGAAAGCCACAGGGGACAAGTTGGGGATAAAGTAATAAGTAGAAAATAAATGATGGATTGTCATTAGCCACCTGACAAGATCTCATCATTCAACTCCCTATATTAATATCCCCACATCTTTAGTTCAATTCCATCTCACATCTCTCTCTCTCTCTTTCTCTCCACAATAATCCATTTCTCATCTGTGTGCTTTTGCTTAATTTCTTATCTACTCAGAAATATCAACGCCTTTTTTTTCTTCTCTTCTCTGTTTTCTTTTAAATCTTACAAGAAGATCAAAACTTTGGAGCTAAAATCTCCACTGGTAAAAGATCTTGCATAGGAAAGTTCTTGTGATGATGACGGGAAAAGAAGATCTGGGTTTGAGCCTAAGCTTAGGATTCTCACAAAATCACAATCCTATCCAGCTGAATCTGAATCCTAATTCGTCCATATCCAACAATCTCCAGAGATTTCCATGGAACCAAACATTCGCTTCTTCACCAGGTATATTACTTGTGAACATTTCAGATCTCATACATTCTCTTTAGGCTTTCTGTAAAGAGTAAACCAGATCTCAACTTAACCCCCGAAACTGAAAGAGAGGACTCTCTTCCTCAAATTTATTTGTTTTTGTATTCTAATTGATTTAGTAATCCTATCAAAATTTTGTGTTATTCAGTTACTGAGTTTTTTTTTCTTGTTTTATAAACTTCATAACTTTTATATACTTTTTTAAATCCAGTATTTGATCAGGTTTTTTCTTTGGGCTATCTGCAGATCTTGGCAAAATAGACGTGAACAGTCTTCCATCGACGGTGGATTGCGAGGAGGAAGCGGGAGTTTCGTCTCCAAACAGTACGATCTCGAGCACCATAAGCGGGAAGAGGAGTGAAAGAGAAGGAATCTCCGGCACCGGCGATGACCACGACGAGATCACTCCGGATCGAGGCTACTCACGTGGAACCTCTGACGAAGAAGAAGACGGCGGCGAAACGTCGAGGAAGAAACTTAGATTATCTAAGGATCAGTCTGCTTTTCTCGAGGAGACTTTTAAGGAACACAACACTCTCAATCCCGTAAGTTTAACCACAAAACAAAAAAATCTGATTAGAGGTAATCTTATGGTATTATTATCGCAGTTACTCTGAAATTAACGAAAGGTATTATGGTAATTCTGCAGAAACAGAAACTAGCGTTGGCTAAGAAATTGGGCTTGACAGCAAGACAAGTGGAGGTGTGGTTCCAGAACAGACGAGCTAGGTGAGATTTCATTTTCAGAATTGAAGTTTTATTTGCATTAGTTTAGTTTTGGTATGATACAGTTTGAATGTTTCTCTTACAAGTTTTTCTGTTTTTGTTTGGGTTACAGAACAAAACTAAAGCAAACGGAGGTGGATTGTGAGTACTTGAAACGGTGCGTTGAGAAGCTGACGGAAGAGAATCGGCGACTACAGAAAGAGGCTATGGAGCTTCGAACTCTAAAGCTGTCTCCACAATTCTACGGCCAAATGACTCCACCAACTACACTCATCATGTGTCCATCGTGCGAGCGCGTGGCTGGGCCGTCATCGAACCATCACCACAATCCCAGACCCGTGTCGACCAATCCGTGGGTTGCATGTGCTGGTCAGGTGGCTCATGGGCTGAATTTTGAAGCCTTGCGTCCACGATCGTGAGGGGAAGGGTCTTTTGGTTATTTTCGTTGTTGTGATGGGTTTGTTTGATATTTAGTGTGGCGGTGTGTAGGGTCATTGTAGTTTTGAATGATTGGCCTTTCCCAAGTTCTAGTGCTGCTTATGTATGATGTAGCCCCTTCATATATTTAAAAATTAGCAAAAATTAGTTACACTATTAAATTATGGAACTATCTTTTAAAAATAGGATGTAAATATCTATATATTTAAATTTCTTCGACGAGCTGAGAATCAAAGCTTTTCAAGTTAAACCCAACGTTTCGGACCTACGACTGTAGTTTATTTGCAGTTTTAGCAAAATCATGAAATTATGTATCCTCCATCAATTCATTATTGATATGAATTAATTAAAAAGTTACGTCCATTCATATGTTGTCTATTTTCATTTTGTTGACTTTGAATGAAAATAGAAGTTGCGGGGAAACCCCTAGTTATATATAAGCTCAAAAAGTTTTGATCAATGGCAGTTCAATTTGTCTTTTTAACTACAACAAGTAAAGAAAAGAAGTATGAACGTCTATTATTGGGTTCTTCTTCGGATGCTAATGGGCCGCATTGTGTAGCCCATAATAGTAGTCTTCGTCATCAATTCCATCTGCGAATCTTTCTTCTCTCCCTCTCTCACTCAATTCTCAAGTCTCGTCCTTCAGGATTTTCTTAACGAAAGTTTTTTCGCAAACCGCTAAACCTATGCGAACAGCCAGATGCTACATCACTTGATGTCTCGTCTGGTTTCTACCTCATTTCGATCTCAACCTTCATACCTCTCAACTCTACGAATTTCCACAACACTCTCAGCCGCCGAGAGATTATACGACCATCTTCAGGGATGCACGAGCAATCTCGAGAAGGAATTAGCATCGGCAAAGGTGAAATTGGACGCATCTTGTATCAACGAGGTAATCAGAAGATGCAACCCAAATCAATTTCAATCGGGTCTTCGGTTTTTCATATGGGCAGGAACTCAATCGGGACACAGGCACAGCCCTTATATGTATAGCAAAGCTTGCGACTTTCTTGAGATTAGAGCAAACCCAGATCTGATCAAGGACGTTGTTGAATCCTATCAGAAAGAGGGATGCTTTGTTAGTGTTAAGACGATGAAGATCGTCCTGTCTCTGTGTAACCAAGCCAAACTCGCTGATGAGGCATTGTGGGTACTGCGGAAATTTCCGGAATTTGGTTCATGCGCAGACGCCGTTGCGTATAATTTGGTGATTAGGTTGTTTGCTGATAAAGGAGATTTGAATATGGCTGAGAATTTGATGAAAGAGATGGATTGTATTGATCTCTGTCCAGATGTGATCACTTACACATCAATGATCAATGGGTTTTGCAATGCGGGTAAGATAGATGAAGCTTTGAAGTTGGCTAAGGCCATGAGTAAACACGGATGCGTGCTTAACACCGTGACGTACTCGAGGATTGTGGAAGGAGTTTGCAAGTCTGGCGACATGGAGACAGCGTTGGAGCTTTTGGCAGAGATGGAGAAAAAAGACGGTACTGGTGTGTTTATTACTCCGAACGCTGTTACTTACACTTTGGTGATTCAATCGTTTTGTGAGAAGAAGAGGGTTCGTGAGGCGTTGATGGTATTGGATAGAATGATAGATCGAGGATGCTCGCCGAATCGTGTTACTGCTAGTGTTTTGATTCAAGGGCTTTTGGAGAATGGTGAGGATGTTAAGGATCTTTCTAAGTTGATTGATAAGTTGGTGAAACTCGGCTGTGTTTCTCTCTCGGATTGTTTTAGTTCAGCTACTGTGTCGCTGATCCGTTTGAAAAGATGGGAAGAGGCTGAGAAGATGTTCCGTGAGATGTTGGTCCGTGGGGTTAGACCTGATGGTCTTGCGTGCAGTCTTGTTCTCAGGGAGCTCTGTTTGTTGGAAAGGTATCACGATTGTTTCCTTCTGTATGAAAAAATCGAGAAGGCCGATGTGATATCGACGATAGACACGGATATACACTCTGTTCTTTTGCTCGGTCTATGTAAACAGGGGAGTTCTTGGGAAGCTACTAAGCTTGCGAAATCGATGCTTGATAAGAAAATGAGACTGAAAGTTTCTCAGGTTGAGAAAATCATTGAGGCTTTGAAGAAAACTGGTGATGAAGATCTCATGCGTCGTCTCTCTACGAGTTAACTCGATATGTTTCAGATAAGGTATGTATTTGTATATTAATATGAATACGTATTCTTGTTCTACACAATCATCACTATTGCATAACTAAGCGTAAGTGCGTAACAATTAATGTATCTGCTTTTTTAAGGACGCAAAGGCTCCTTTGTTTTGCGGTTGAGACTTTGTTCAGAAGATGACGTTTGGTTTTGGAGATAAGGCACGACGTATTTGACAACATCGGGAATCGCCATCCTGATGTGTTCGCCTGCTACGCTCACAAACTTCACTTTTCCAGCAGCGTCCAATGCTTTCAGACCGATCCAATCCTCTGTATAGAGCTTTGTCTCTTTAGCAGAGAGAAGATGTTCGAATTCACCTTCTGGGTAAAACCCGAACCAAGACGAATCTTTTGGAACAATGACCTTATCGTCTTCAAACTGTAAAACAAGACAGAATCATCAAGAGAGGATTCGATCGATTAAATAGTAGAGGATGGTTGTTTTGAGGAGATGGAACCTTGACAAGAACCAAGTTGTGTAAGCTGGTGAAACGGTCTTTGTAAGTGGAGTTTCTATGATCTGGTATCTCATTGTTAAGCTTAGGTAGATACTTAGAGCTTTTCAGGTACTTTGCCATCTCCTGAGAAACCAAACACAAAAGTTTATGTTAAGAGTCTAATAATTATAAAACTATTCCTTTTTCTTCTAAACTATCTGTTGTGAGTAAGACATACGGTAGGGATTTTGATATAACCGCTAGGAGCAAGATGATCCTGCAGAGTCATTAAAAATGTAAATTAATCTCTGATTAAGGATTCTAATCCTGATAGAAAAAGAGAGGTATAGAGAGGGAGAGATACTTGAATGAAGTCGCTATAGATATCTGCCTTGATCAGATCGTCTACTATTTTACAGAATAAACCAGACTTGACACCCCAAAAAAATACAAAAAAAAGCATTAGAGAAAGTCGTTGTTGTCACTGTCGTTGATCGAATAAAATCAAATCACATAAAAAAAGACGAAAATCTGAGAAGGAAAACAAGAAAAACTTACACCACACATAGGAACAGAGGAGATTCCAGCATGGGGACCTGCTAAAGATATATAGTTGTGAACCGGAGGTCCACCATCGCAGAACTCGATCAAACCTCTAGCAACTAGGTTCCCCTGTTTAATTCATTATTCATCATCATTATTATCCATGAACCTTAAAAAAACGCGTAACGATAAAAAAACAGGTTTTTCAAGAAAGTATCAAGAAACCTGAGATCTTCCAACAATGTTGTATCCTTGACGCAACTCTTTCATTTGCTTCACTTTCTCACACGCTATCTCCGCTTGTTTCGTAAGTGGCATGAACCATGAATCCCGTTTTCCATCTCCAACTTCTCTGGATTCATAAAGAAAACAAGAGTTGCATCAAACCAAATGCATAATCATAATCATCATCACAAACAAAACAAAAAACATAATCATGGTTGGCTATTATGGCCGCTTTAAAGAGCTATACACGACTCTTTCACAGGTCTCCTGATCTGTGAAGGTATCAAAAAAGAAGAAAGTGTTGTGTATATAAACTTACAGGCAAAAGCCAGGAGATCCAGAGAGCTTGGTAAGAAGCTGTGTGAAGTTAGCATTTTTACCATCATGAGAACAGTCAGCTGAAATCCCATGAAGCAATATGAACGGAACTGACACAGAGACCTGAACCAAGGCTAAGAATGCAACCGCCACGGCAAGACCAGACCGCTTAAAACCTTTCATCTCCAAAGCAAAACGCGAAAGTTGCGTTTGGCGTTTATGTTTTATGGTTTTAGTTGTCTCTACTCCAAGAGTTTTTGGGGAGTATAATGCTATATATAAAGGGAATAGAAAGAGCGTGATGTGGTTGGAAGTTGCGGCCAAGTAAGAAATAGTTTATGAAAATTGGACGGTGCTGATTGGTTTTTAGATCTTCATCTTCTTCTTGTTCTTCCTAATCCGATGCTATCTTTTCGCTGCCTCTTTTAATACGTTTATATATGTTGTGTACTTGTATGTATGTGATAAATATATATCAATTAATGCACTCATATTTGATGTTTACAATAACTATAAATGCGATCATTTATACTATCGTATAAGATATTAAAAGATTTACAATATTTTTTCCTTTTTAATTTATAGGCTAATATTATAACAATTTTAGTAGTTGATCTGTTTATTTAATTGTTTCTACTTATTCAATTTATAGAATAATATTAGAACGATTATAGTGATTTATCTATTTATATATTTAATTGTTTGTACTAACTAGTACATTTTAAAATAATTGTTTGTACTAGTACATTTTAACCAGTAGTGATTTTTAACTTTCTTACAATAATCAAATAGTGTAAGAAAGTTAAGAAAGGAAATGAAAACGAAATTGTAGATAAAAAAATCATATTAGACATTTTACCCACGCATATGTAAGTGTGATGATAAAATGTCACTGTCTTGGTTACTTATTATGCTAACTTCGTTAGCCAATCACATTTATAGATCTTCTGTTGCTCCCATCTCTCTCAGGTAAAATATCTTCAAAACTTGAGATGAATATTTGGACGTTTTGATTTCGAGTTATATTTGTCATAGCTTTGTCCCTTAAGTGGAATGTAAACTCAAATAAAGAAAAAAAACAGAACTATAGAGTATCAAAGAAAATAATAAATCCAGACATCAGTCTCTCCCATGGCAGTACTTGGGCATCTCCATCAAAACCAAGTAAAATCATATCTAAAAATAAAATAATAATTAAAAAGTGGAAAAAAAGGAAAAGAATTATAGACATATCTAATTGTTGCTTGTTTAAAGACGTTTATAAAAATGTTAAAATATTTTAAATTTATATGACTTTTTGTTATTGATTTACTTTTCTAATTATTTAAAATTTAATTAAATTATATTAATATAATATATTTTAAATACCACGGATGCGGATAGTCTTAGTATCCACTTGCCAATTACATAGAGTTATTTGTATAGTGTTTTTCGTTGTTTTCTTAAAATAAACAATTATTTTTGTTAAATATTAACTATAATTATATTGAAATACAAAATAACCCTTAATTTTTGTTGAAGAAATCTTAGTTTTTATTATGTTGGCCGACAAAAAAGAAAGTTCTAAATTTTTATCTGTAATAATTATTTAATAAAATATATTTATATACAACATGAACAGATTTAGAAATTAATATAACTACACTAATTTCACCTTGTTTTTTTTTTTAAAAAAGACTTACTAATAAATCAAAATATGAACCAAAGAGAAATAAATATTTATATTACATTCCTATTTGTGTTTTTAAACTCCTAAATCTACATATTAAAAGAATTCATAAGTCATACCTTACGTACTTATATATCTGTAATATTTTGATATACAGCAAGTTACAAAACAGAACTCAGACCTCATGTAAATTTGTATAGAACCTTGTGATTTTCTAGTAACTAAATCTACAAAACGTTGAAATTTACAAATAGAACTCGTGAGAGTCGTCGGCAAAAAAGTTAAATTACTGGTTTTATGAGGGCTCACTTTGACTAATTTAGCTACAGAATGTGAACTAGAGTAAAGACCTTAGGCTAGAAGACATAATCTCTGCCCATGACAAATCCATAACCAAACAACTGTTTGAAACTGATCACAAGCTTACAATACTAATTATTAGCGTCGCAGATTTCATAAATTATGACAGAAAAAGTAGCCAATGTGAACTCAGAGAAGATAAGAGTTGCCTTGAGAAGAAACACGAATACAAATTTGTCAACGAGTTCACACCATTATCTCTAAACTCACTACCATCAATATCTTAGATGGGTTCTCGTCGAAATTTCAAATCTTTTTTACATTTCTAGGTCGAAAGAATATACTCAATATGGAATCTTTGAGACAATACTCACTTCTGTTTCAATGGCGATATTCTTTGCTACAGACGATATTAAGTTCTTGGTGATCCTCCCAATGGCTGCTTTAGAGAGCTCAAGATCGCTTCAGCAAGTACTGAGGAGATTCATCGGTTGGTTCTTGGAGGAGCTCACGGGCAAGTCGCACTGGTCTGTCTTGTAGATACGCAATGTCGCTGTTTGGTGCTGTTATGAGATGATGATCTGATCCTTCTCCATCTGTTTCGTCTGAGAGAGATGATGCAACTGATTCTTCTGATCCATCATTATCATCTACAATGGAGATAAAACAAACTGGTTTCACCAGTGACCCGAGAAGAAGAGAAAACGCGAGATTCTTTGGAACTAACTTACCCGAGAACTCGAGTGCTTCAGGATGTCTAACCGATGATAACTGTATACTTTCAGGAAGGATACAATTACAGAAAGAACCTGGAGAAATTAAAGAACAAGCAGAAATGTTAAAAAAGGTCCAAAAAACAAGAATCAGTTTGAGAAATAAGCTGGAAGATTAGATAAGAGAGTTGTCTTACCTACACGAGCCATCCGATTAATCCATCCGGGAATAGGCTTTCCTGTTACCTGCAAGCATACTTCTTCGGTGAAATGGTTACAGTTCTTGGCAATCAAATGGTATGTGTCCCCGTGATACTTTCTCGAAAGCTTCTCCATGAATGAGCGGAAATCTGAGCGAGACATGCTGGTGGTTCCCAACAAAACTGACCGCCTAAAGATGAAACCTGGACAGCTCCTAGGTTCAACCTCAAACACCCCGCTGCTCGAGTACTCGTGAGCCCCATATCCATATTCGAAACCATGAGCTAGTAGGTAGAAATATCAATGGTGAAAACAACTCATGTTAGATAAACATTTAGTAATAGAAACAGCTTTAGGTCCAACGAATGATAATGTTTCAGGCAACCACACAAGTGTAAACTAAAATTTGAAAAGGTTTTACATTCAAGATTACTCGATATTTCTAAGCAACCACTTTATAATAATCAACAACATTGTCTGAAGAGCCATGTGTTGTCGCCTAATTCAAGACTAGAACTCTAATAACATGATAAATATGTTGTCTTTAAACCAGAAGCGAGAAAGCAAAGAGAAAGCGACACTGTTGTCTGAATTCGCAGGATGCATAGACTAATAAAGAATAGTGTAGATAAAAGTTTGATTAGGCGAGTCGAGTTATAGAAAAGAGGAGAGTGTAAAGGGAAGAAGACACATATACCTTCGATTCCAGAGTGAAATATGCCAAGCCCGAACCAATAGAGATAATTGTTGACAGGTGTTAGATCATAGACGTTGAGATAGACCGGTGTGAGACCGGAGTCTCCAACGATCTCTTCTTCCTTCTCCTCACTTGAACATAAGCTCGAGCTCAAACCAAGCACCCGCATTTTACAAAGTAACGCTAATTACAGTCTTCCAATTCCAAAATCAGAATCAAATCATCATCTCTTTCCTCATAAACCTCTGCAAAAACTAAACTGATGAGATATTAGCAGAGGTTCAGAAACAATTTATTCGTTTGGGACCGTGACAAATAATTGGAAATCAAGCATTCACAGAATCACATATAGTAACACTAGGGATCTGAAAGAAGCAGATTCAGAAAAAATAGTTGAGGTCGTTTACATATGCAAATTGCTAAATAAAAAAAAAAAAAACCCAAGAATCAAAGACTGAAAATTAAGAAAGAAGACGCATTAATCTTTCCGGAAATTGCTTGGTAACAACAGGAGGATCACGCCGAGAGATGCATACCTAATTGAAATGAACTCAGCTGAAACTGAAGAACTACAGAGAAGCAAATCGAAACACAGAACATACGAGAATCGTCCCGCAAAAAAAAAAGAAAAAACCTAACGTATAACCCATGAACTACGAATCGAAAGAAACCCAAGAAGAAAATTAAAAATCGAGAGAGATCTTACAAGGACATTTCAACGGAAATCGAACAAAGATGAAGAAGAAGAAGAAGAAGAAGATAGGAGAGCTTACATGGAATTGGGGAAAAGAAAGACGGTTCTTTGTGATTTTCCGGTCGATCTGTCCAGCGACGAGAGGGGAAAGAGAAAAAGTGGGGACATGCGTTAATTATTTGATCGCCACTCAAAAGTGAAATCTATATAAATTTAATCAACTACCTTTAAGCTTGTTTTTAAAACGGCTTGGTATATAACTCCATGGTTTGACTACACTAATGTTTTCCTTTTCTATTATTCAGCAAAAACTTTATACATATTGATGACCGATTACACAAGTACCTGTACAAGTATATGGACGTTGAAAGTTTTTACTTTTTAGTTTTACTAATCAAACAAAATCTGGGAAAACTTGTTATTTCAAATAAATAAAAGAAGATTTCGTTATGTTATGTTATACATAGATAAAATAAACGGATTATGTAAAGAATTCGATTTGTATCACACTACATTTGAAACAAATAGCACATAAATGTAATGTGTAAACCACAGAAGCAAAACAATTATTCGGTAAACCATAGAGAAAAAGAGAGGAAGGTTCGGCGTCGAAGGCAGGCACGATGAGAAGAGAGACCGCATTACTGATGCCTTAATGGTTTACACTCCTCTTACCATCGGATCATTTCTTCAATCTCACCGCTGATTTGTCCTATATAATTAACAAATATTGATCAAAAGTCAAAACAAACGGATAGATTATACTCATCATTGACTGACTCAAAAATTGAAATACCTGATCGTATTGCAGCTTTGCAATAAGAGTGAACCGTAGAGAGATAACACGTGATCAAAAGTCATTACCAATAGACCATTGACTGACTAATAAATGGAAATACCCGGTCACATTAGCTTTGCAATATCTATCAATATTAACAGTGAACCGTAGGTGAATATTACACCCTAACACACTTTTTCAAACTCTTGTTACACGCCAATACACTTTCTACTACTAACACACTCTTATACACTGTTCATTTTTTTTTTTAATGTTAAATGATTCTATTAGATGTATGTAATTAGGTTAATTCAATCACTATATAAATGTATACACTTGGTGCATTCATCTTCATGAGAGTAAATAAGAACAACATTTGTTCCAATTCCTAAACTCGAGTTGTTGATCGTATAAGGTGCTTTGATCAAATCAGGTACAGGACCCATTTTGGGCAAAATCCCCAAAACAAAATAAGGAAGAAGGGACGGACCTGCTGATGTTATTCAGATGAGAGACACGTTGCTTCGTAGCTTCATCTTCCCATTCAACTCCTTTTATCCATTCTTTTTCGAGGTGCAATCTAACTTGATTTCCTTTAGCGCTATCGGAGTCGAGTGGAATTCTTCTCAGCTTTGGACAACGGCTTATCTGCATACACTCCATAACTGGAAAGGGTAGAGGAGCCCAGTAGATGTTCTCCAGTTGAGGTAAATCAAGCAGGGAGAGGCTAATTAGATTCTGAAAGGGATGCTCACTCGTATGACCCACCTGCTCCATGGCTTTCTCTTTGCTTACTACTTGTTCCAATTGTGGACAGTAAAATAAACCTAGATGCTTAAGACTCGGAGCATATAGCAACCATGTCAAGTCCCTTAGGCCTCTGCACTGAGAAAGAGTAACACTGCGTATGTTCAGGAATTGTGGAATTTTCTCAATGTTGCCAGAATGTACTGTCTCCCTTTGGCTAAGGCTTCTCCAATCAATGGTTATCTCCGGGATATTACATTCTAAAACCTCAAGTTCGCGAAAACCAGACTTCAGCGATAAGATTCCTCCCTCGACTATTGTAATTTCATCGAGACCTATACTTCGGATACAATTTGCCAAGCGGTGGTTACTTAGTAACCTCTGGGAAACAGCAGGATCTTTCACGGTTAGACTCAACTCTTGTAGACTCTCCAAAAGTTGTAAACACTCCAGTAACTTGAGGTCCACAGGTACAGCAGATCGCAATAACTTCAGTACTTGCAAATTCAATAAACCTGCTATCACGTCAATATATTGAAGATTCAGTGTGGCATCCAAATCCAAGTGTATTAATTTTGTAAGCCTTTTCAAAGCAAGCGGCAGCCGTATTATCCCTGTCCATGATAAGTTGAGAAACCGCAGGGACACCAGGCATGAAACTTCCTCCGGCAACACGTAAAGGCCTGTATTAGACGATAGATTCAAGACAGCAAGGCTTGTCATCCACCGGAAGAAATGACCCGAAATCCGTTTTAATTTCGGGTTCTCTTGGAGGAATAGGGTCGTAAGCTCGGAAGACGGAGGAGACTCCGAAATAGTCTCAATCTGAGTAGATGTCACTGACATCCTTCTTACCATTCTCCAATCATTGACCACTGGCAGCTGCTGAATTGTTTCACCGCATTTCACGACAATGTTTTCCTCGCGCCTCCCGGAATCAGATGCTATCCACAAGGCCATTTCATGAACCATATCACGCATCTTTACACTATAACCATTTTTATTCTCCATCAAGAAACCCATTATAATCATATCACCGATCATCTCATAACCCTTAGTTTCAGCTATCTCTCTATCCTCTTCGTCAATCATTCCCTCACATATCCAACAGTCTATCAGCTCCTGTTTACTTATATATGAATTTTTCGGAAATAGAGCACAATACAGGAAGCACGACCTGATATTCTCACCAAGCAGATTATCGTAGATAAACCTCAAAATGGCAACTTTGCTACCTGAAAATCCTGCGGTGGATGAAACCAAAGCGTGAATTACATGATGCCATTCCCGTACAGTCCTTTTGCGTGACATGGCCTCGCCTATGAGACTGAGAGCAATGGGGAAACCACCACATTTTCTAGCAACGATTCTTGCGAGCTGCGGTATGTCTGGATGACTTTTTAACGTGGTTTCTCCAACTATCTCTTGGAAAACATCCCATTCTTCTTCTGGGCTCAAATATTCAACTTCTAGAGTAGCATCAACCCACTTGCTTCTACATGCTTCCTGATAACGAGTGGTGAATACAACTTTGCATCCATTCTCTCTGCTCGGCAGTGGAACTCCAATCGCTTCAAGATCCACTCCTTCCCTCTGTACGCCATCCAATAACAACACAAATCTCCTTTCGTTTAGGACCCGATATATTCTAGATGCTTTCCCCCGTTCACTTTTTTGTCTCAAGAATATTCCAAATCTTCTCAGGATTGTGTCTTGTATACCCTTGACCTCTTCAGACTCCACAACAACAAAGATCACAATACATGTTACATCCCAAAATTCTCTGAATTTATTTTCAATCTGAGTAAGAAGGGTGGTTTTTCCAACTTCAGCCATACCATAAAGACCCAAAGTCCCACAATCGTTTTCCTCAAGGCATTTCCATGCCTTTTCAAGCAACATTTCTCGAGAAACAATTGGTTGAATCGGGGTCTTCTTTCTGACATAAGACAAGGGAGCTCTCTCAACCAACACTTTGAAAACTCCCTTAGATCTCAGAGCTTTAACTTCTTCCAACATCACACATACCATTTCGCTGTAATGAAGGGTCGATCTAGAGATCTTAGAACAATCATCATAAGTAGTTAAAGTGTGACATTCTGAAATACTTTCATCAAGGACACCACTGGCCTTCAATTCAACCTCTTCCGCCATTAAAATCCACTTTTCGACTTCGGGTAGCGTTTTTAGACCTTTGTCCTTTTCTTTAGACACCCTTTTTAACAACTCATTTATCATTGCATTGAGGGTTTCCACTTCCATCTCCAAATCCTCCAGATCTTTCTCCAGGTTTTGTGAATACTCCTCTTTTCAACACAAGAAACAGAAAAGTGATTAGAATATTGTGTTTTATAGAGTTACATCTAAATCTTAGAAGATGTCCCTCCATGTTAAAGTTCTGTTTTTTGGCTGCATGTTAACATAGTTTTAATATAAAATTTCTTCAAAATTAGTGGATATGTGTGTTTCTAATATTTATTAGTGTCATTTTTCCATTCTACAATTTTAATACGAGAGATAATTCTTACTAAAATGATTTATAAGGAGGTCTACTAGTATACTTTTAATTTGCTATTATTCTACCAGTAATTTGCATTTACAGTATGTCATTAGTCGAGTCTGTTAGTTGTGAATGTAAGATCAATCAATTTCCCACTAGTTTATATTCAGTTTGCCATTAATCTATAAATAAAAGTAGTTAGAAAAATAACACTGATATTTATAAAAATTGAGTTATTTTCACAAAATTTCCTCATAATATACCCTTTTCATATTATTTTTATATTAAAATATTTTCTCTATTTATAATTTGATGTAGAGGTGAGTATTTCAGTTTATTTTTAGTTCGGTTTGATTAGTTTGATTAGTTTGGTTTTACTAATACTCTAACTAAACTCAACCAAGTTTTCAGTTTATTTTCGGTTCAGTTCAGTTTAAATCCAACTCGGTTCGATTCGGTTTGGTTCAATTTATTTTGATTTGATTTAAATTCATTTTGATTAATATATTATAAACAAATTTCAGTAACTTAAAAAATAAAAAGGAACGTCAATATACAAAAATATAAAATGTAAATTTAATTGTTTTAGTTTTAACTTTTAAGAATGAAAAAATCTTTAAATAATAAAATTCAAAATAATTAAAATTATTAATATAACTAATATTGGGTTTTTGATTCAATTAGATTTAAACCGAATGGAACAGAACCATTCAAGTTGATGAAAATCTCAACTGAAATGTTTTACTATTAGCTTTGGTTTGGTTTGGTCAATTCGGGTTTGGTTGGTTCAAATTAATTCAGTTCCGTTCGTTTTTTTAGCCAATGTCCCACAATCGTTTTCCTCAAGGCATTTCCATGCCTATGCATAAATTATGTGTTGATTATGAATGATTTTCTAATATTTATTTAATTATTTTAAATGGTTTTAAAGAGTGTTTTATAAAAAGTTTATGTTAACTTAATTAGGTTATAATTTGATATTTTAAACTCCTGAAAAAAATAATCAGAAACGAAAAAATAGAAAACAAAATCAGATTAGCTATAAAAAAATATGATCGAAAACTCTGGTATAAATTCACGTACCAATAGCGATACCTCCCTCACTCATTAACAATTATTTTTAATAAAATCTAATAACTCATAAAAGCAAATAAATGGCCGTTGGTTCTTTAAATTTGTGTTTCTCAAAACGAATTAATTGGGATCCAAATCCTAACATCATTTTCCATCTAATTTTTTCAACATTGAATCTTCTTGAAGGTGATTCTATTATTTCCGTATCATTATCAAGTATTTTGCATTTAAATTAATATTGTACAGTCTGTTCTCAAAAAATTCAACTATGATCCATATACAAAATGGATTCAAGAGTTTTATATATGGCCAACAAATGGTTTCAAAATCATCACAAACCACCGATTATTCGATAAACAAATCAAAATATAAGTCCAAGAGGTAAGACAAATTAGAAAGTAGAAACGAAGATAATATTACCCATATTTTGCGTGGGAGCAAGATAATAAAGCTGTGATAGATCAGCCACCAATTGAAAATCTCCTGTAGGCGAGAGACTTTTAACTTCACTCAACTTCTTGGAAAATTTTCAAGACAACGGTATGGTGCTTATCGTGCTCAGGATTTGAGAAGGAAGCATATTTTTGTGCAGGATCTTGGCACGTTTGGCTCGGTTTTAGTTGAATTAGTCCACTGCAATTTTGTCTTATATATGAATTAAAATTACAACTTGGTCTCTGTATATATAATATATGCATTAATATATCACAATCCAAGAGTTTGAATAATAAATATATATAAACTAGACGTACGTGACCCATCGGTTGCATACTGGAAGCGATCATTATATTACAGATGTAGTTTACACGAGTGACAAATCAACATGTCTGTATAGGTGATAATAGTATTATACACTATATTGCTTACATCGATCAGCGGTTGTCGCTCAACGCCAACATACCTCGCATGCAATGTCTTCTACTCAATTGAACAAGTGTATAGTTGACCAAAAAAAAAAATTGCACGTTATTAAAATGCTGTTAGTAGTACTTTTACTCCAACTTACATTAAGAAAATCACCCACTTGTTCACAAGCAAGAGAATCTGAAAGATGCTCATCTTACAAAGTTCGTTTAAAAACTCTCCTAGACATCAATGGGGTGAAGAACTTGTTAGGGGTCTTTGACCATTTGTTTAGTACTTGGGAGCCTTTTGGCTTTGGGGGAGTTGAGAGATCCCTACAACAAATCTCCAACATATAGTTAGGATTCTTGATTGTAATCCTGGATTCTAAGCTAATAAAGAAAAAATTTGATATACAAAACACTCTCCTATACATCGATGGCATCATGAACTTTCACAAGTAACAGCTTTTAAAGATTTAACTACATCAGTTAAGTTCTTTATACATATTTGATTTGGGAAACGTATTCGTACTCAATTGTAAGAATGAGCCTTAAAAGTCTAATGTGTAAAATTCAACATCAAACCTGATCAAGGCTAATGGGTAGAAACCAATCTTTTATTATATAAGCCTATAAAGTTTTGTCACCCGCTGTTACTTGACGAGAAGCAAAAACTCCAGCGATGAAGTTTGTAGAGTCGACAACAATTACAGACGCATCTCAGACAATAAAATGTTTTAATCACACATATAACTGGCAAAAGCAGAAGTTTTTACAAAATACCCATAAAAAAAAAGGGACAAACAACTTCAAACAAATCAGGTTTACCGTAAAGAAACAAAACAAAAAGAGGAACTTTGAATTGCATCCATTGATATCTGCTTGTCGCACCAGGTCTGTTTCGGGCTTGCATGTCTACACCTAAAAGATGATAGAAGATAAAAAGGTACACAAAGTGAGGAGTGGAATAAAAATATAGAGAACCAGAGATTTTATAATGGAACAAAAGAATTATGTTTGTACCGAATGAAGTTAAGAAACAGAAGCTGTGTGGATGGCAAGACGAAATCGCTCCTCAGCTCCACTCTCCCATTCAACTCCGACTAACCATCCCTCATCCACTTCAATGCGAAGATCATCAACTCCATCTACACTCGTAGAATTTAATGGAAGCTTACGTAGCTTCGGGCACTCTGTTATACTGACTTTCTCCAGTCTTGGAAAAGAGAGTGAAGTCCAATATATGCTCTCCAATTCATCCAAATAACCTAAATCAAGAACTTGTAGCTTTTGAAAAGGGTCAACCTCGACATTCCCAGCTTTCTCTTCGTTTATTACTTCTTTCATCTTAGGCGAGATTTTGACGCTCAGAGACTGGAGATTTGCAGCATATACCAGCCATGTCAAATCCGTTAGACCTACGCATGAGTATATTACCACAGCTGAGAGGTTTTCGAACCATATCTTGCTTTGACTTCTTTGATTGGATGGAGATGGAGGTGGAGATAAACACTGGAGACTTCTGTTTTCTTCCCATTCTGTCTCTGACTCTTTGATATCGCAATCTGTCATTTTAAGTTTGGAAAGACTTCCCAACTCACCAAAGGTGGCTGCAAATGATTTTCCTGATACCCCTGAGACTTCAAGTCCGTCAAGATATAGACCCTGAGTACACTTTGGCAATCTCTTGCTTCCTAAGAAAGCTTTTAAAACATCAACTTCTCTCACAGTAATGGTCAAAAGTTGCAACCCCTTCAAAGACTCCAAGTTCTTCAGTAAGGAGCCATCTAACACAGCGGAAGCATAAAATCTCAAGACCTGCAACTTTTGTAATCCTGATATCAGACTGATGCTACGAAGACTGGATGTGGACTCCAAATCCAAGTGGATCAGTTTGAGCAATTTCTTGAAACCCTCCGGCAAATCTTTTATCCTCGTCCCTAGTAACTTGAGGTACCGCAAAGAAACCAATTCTGAAATCTCATCGGGCAACTTGGTGATATCAGGATTCGAGGATAGATCCAAAACGACCAGAGTCGACATGACTGCAAAGAATTTACAGCCAATTTCGACCAACCTGTTATTTTGAAGGAACAAGGTTATAAGTGGAGCTTGTTCAGGGAATTCAGGATCGTCCGGTATGCCCGGAATCTCATTGTTCACCAGAGACATCTTTGTCACGGCTGTCCAGTCCGGGACATCAGGCATTTGGCTTAACCCAGCATCTGTTTTCACAAGATACATTTTTCCATCCCTGATTTCGGATACTATACACAGCGCCATCTCACGGATCATATTGTGCATATACACTTTCTGTTTAGACGCTTCATCCTTCAATAACAAGCCTGCCCCAACAAGAGTACTGATTATCTCAACACCTCGACTCTTTGCCCTGTCTCTTCCACGCGTTACGTCTATGATACCTTCGCCGATCCAATACTCCACCAGCTCATCTTGTTTGATAGTATATCCCATGGGAAATAAAGCACAATACTGGAAACACAACTTGGCATCCTCTTTCGCCAAATAATCATAGCTTACTTTCAAAACACCAAACATCTCTTCCTCCATACCTTCCAATACATCTGGAGAAGAAGCCAAAGTATCCAGTACATCACGCCATTCATGCTCAGTCGTTCTAGATGACAGACACTTGCCAATGACTTCAATTGCCAGGGGTAAGCCATGACACTTTTTCGCAATCCTCTCTGCGAGATCAAGCATCTCGCCACCTCTTCCGGAAATCTGCGTTAACATATCCAGTGCGTCCTTGTCCGCCAAACGTTCAACTTCTCTGTAAACTCCCCTCATCCCTCGACAGACACTGTTTAAGCGAGTAGTAAACACGATTTTGTATTTACCCCCCTTCACTGGAATTCCTATTGTGTTTAAACTCACTTCCTCCCATAAGTCATCTAACAACAGCACAAATCGGGGTTTCGTATTTTTTAGAACCCTGTGTATTCCACACTTTTTCTCCCTTTGTGTTTTTTTGCACCAATTCTCGTCATAGAGGCCTAGTCTTTCCCCGATCTCGTCTTGAATCTTCCCAATATCTACATCTTTAGACACTTTGACCCAAATGACAACATCAAAATCAATCTTGACTTCAAGGAACTTGTTGCATATTAGAGTGAGGAGTGTCGTTTTACCCACTCCCCCCATACCGTACAGACCCAACATTCTAGTACCATCTTCCATAAGAAGGCTCCATGTGCTAAGAAGTTTTGATTCAAGACCAAATGTTTGCTGGTAAGGTTCTTCTACTACCACAAGAAGAGTAGCTTGCCGAGTCATCACTTCAGAAACCTTTGCAGAAATGAGTTTCTGAACTTCACTCAACATCTTAAGAATCTTTTTGCCACATAAGTAGGCTGAAAATATAGTGATGGTGAAGGAGCAATACCCATATGTTGACAGCCTTAGCTGTACAACGGAAGCCTCGCAAATCAGCAGATTGGTGTTAGTTTCAACGGTTTGGACTTTTGAACGCCACCTTTCCACTTCAGCTAGCCGTCTCTGGCCCTTGATTTCTTCAGCAACGACCTTGCGTATCAGATCATCTCTTCTTGCTTTAAGATCCTCCAAAGCACTCCTCAACTCGTCAAGATTATCATCAAGGTTGGAAATGTAATCTACATGTCCACTCAAGAAACTCCATACTGGTGGAATACCTGGAGCAGTTGAAGTAAGAACCGAGAAAATGTCAGGCATCGTGCTCGGGATTCCAGAAAGACGAAAGAGAATTAAGATAAGAAGGGCATATCTCAAAATTGGAAAGGATAAAAATGATGTAAGAATTGGGGAGCAGCAAGAGGGAAACAGATCTTCCCGCAGGATTATGTGCATTGACTTTGAAACTAGCTAGAGTTTGGCATGTTCAGCTTGGTTTAGTTTACATTAATTAATTACAATGGTGAAATACCTCCTTCATATCAATAAAAATTACAAATTGGTCAATATATAAGTAGTTTTTATATATAAACTTGTCTTTAATACTATAAAGACTTGTCTTTACCCACCGATTACAAAACTGAACAGATCAACATGTTATATAGTTTACACAAATCAATGTTTGTAATGTTTTTATTAAGTCAATACTCAAACGCAAATCTACCATACCTACAAGTCTACTACAACCACAATTTCTTACGCCACTAGTTTGTAGTATGCACCTCAATTTGCATTATTTTTGCAAACCTAACATCATGTTTGTCCTTGTCGTTGTTATTATAATGTAGTTTGCTGTTGAAAGTTTCAGCGCAGTTATCATTTCCAGGAAGCTAGTAGCTAGCATCAAATTTGTCGATTTTCATTGTTATTTTATTGTGGTTTCGAAAACAAGAGAAGTGATCCACAACCCATCCAAATATAGTCATGACGATTCCAGCCTAAGAGATGTTAGTAATGAGAAGAAGACAAATTAGAGTGAAGATATATACCTGCGTGAGCACAAGATTGAGCTCAAACTAAGCACAGTACTCCAATTGCAAGCCACGATCATCCCTTTTCTCCTAAATCTCTGTGATAACACAAAGAAAAGTAGCACATTTTCCGCAAACTAGGACGAATGATTGGGAATCAAGTATACAAAATAGTATTTATTGAATCAAGATCTTAGCTGGGGTGATTAGGAAGACCAGAGTATGCTCTTGATTCGTAGTTCCCGCGATTTGTGTTTAGGGATTCTCTAGCAAATCGAAGCCCAGAAGTTTTACCGCTAAATCATCGCGGAACCAAATCAAGAGCATCTCCACCCAAACAAAATCGAGCGCATTAGAGAAGAATATGGGACGACACCATCCGCAGAGAGATTATCAGATTACCCGATTAGGGGGGAAATTTTATACAATGGTTTAAACCGGTTCGGTTGAATCTGGTTTCTGGTTCCGGTTTAGTTCTGAACTTGCCATAAATCGAAATGGTTTTGGAATTTTACAGCGGACTCGATCGCCTGATTTTTCATGATTCCCAAAAATTCGTAAAAATCTCAAACCGTTGACCGTATTGGCCTGGTCTTGTAGTACCAATTCTCTCGAGTCTCTCCCATATCAAATCTCTACAACATGTTCGAGGATAGGGCCTCCATACACGAAAAAGTGAAACTTTTTATTTACATTGATCAAATATTTCTACATCGTTTATACGATTATTGAAAAATAAAACACCAACTTGAAATTCCCAACATAGGAGATGAAAGAGAGTCAATGACCAAAATGGTTCAACAGTCTCTAACCCTTGATTTCTTCAACATGGACCTTGCGTATCAGATCATCTCTTCTTGCTTGAATATCCTCCAACGCACTCTTCAACTCGTCAAGAATATCACTAAACTTGGAAATGTAATTTACATGTCCACAGTCTCAAGAAACCCCAAACTGGTGGAATACATTCTGAACAAAAGAGTCAAGACAGTGTAGCCGTAGGCCATTGCGCTCAGGATTCGAGAAAGACTGAAAAGAGAACCACGATGAGAAGAGCAAGTCTTTAAATTGGATGTGTGTATGATGACTGTGCAAGCTAAGGTTTCTGGAACTGAAGGCAAAAAGGACTCACCGTTTCATTGTTTACAAAATCGAGGAGAAACAGAAGCAAAATTGCTGTAGAGAAAGTCGGTGAGCTAGTATACAAACCTATGAGGAGTTTGCGGCAAGTCTTCCTGCTGATGAATGCCGTTATGTCATTTATGTTACATTTACACACTCATACAGAGTCTCTCTACTATCCCCTTTGACATTATTCACAGTTACCCACATCTCCTGTCGGGGTTCGTGTACGCATCACAATAATCCATTACCATAACCCCTTATCCACGTAACTCATTTAGTTGGATTTCCTTCATACTCTATGGCTTTTTAGCACTTATCCACGTACGAGCTAGGTCCATACGGTTTATTTAGTTGTTTCACTATCATCCACGTTTTACCATTTTAACATCCAACTATGAACATAGATGCTACATGAGAAACAGAATATTGGATTTTGTATCTTTGTTTCATTTTAAATGTCATTGAAGAACTTTTCATATATATTAAAAATATTGATACATTTTGAATTTTCTATGAATGCTTAAACGATTTTAGTCCAGTGTTCGATGAAAATGGAATTCTAATCGATCTAAAAACAAAAATAATTAATAATGAACAGAAAATAATAGTTATAAAACCGAATTACAAAATTCAACTTTTAAGAATTTTGAACAATCAAGTACAAACATTAACTATATGTATTAGAATAAGAATAAAATACACACACCTTTTGCCAAACATAAACAAGTTGTTCTGGAACCAAATAATGAGATAGAAAGATCTTGCTTCTGTATCTTAGTTCACGGCGGCACGTATGGCAACCCCTTTAACCACAAGCCCGGTCTTACGGACGGTGTCGTCATACTGATACATGTTGAACAAGATCTCCGCTGATGCGTTCATTGGTGGTGCGACGAAATCCCCGACTATAATATCGACCCATTCGTCACTTATGTAGTCTTGCAAACACAATGTCTTCTCCTGCCAAAACTCTCTCTTATCGCGCATGACAAGCTCTAGACTCAAGTTCACCGGCTTCCTCCATCCAGATGCAGTCTTTTCTAACTTCACCATGAACACCACCTCGTAATTTGTCTCTGGTGTCAGTTTCCTCGTATATGTTCCTCTTATATCTAGCCAATAAACTTCGTTCAGTATCGCAACTTCGATGGATACTTCGCTGAAAGGTATTTCCAAAATATGAATATATTAGAAAAAGGTGGCCTTATATATATATATATATATATATAAAGCAACTCGGAAGAACACGATGGTAAAGGTTCCCAACAAAAAAGAACACGATGGTACTATTCTGTGAAAATAATCTATACAAAATACTTACTTTGGTGGCTCGGAAATAAGACTCCAGGTCCAGTTTTTTGGTTTCTCCGAATGACTGAGATCGATTCCTCTTGCATAGATCATAGAACTATTTGCTTCCTGTCTTATCTGTTCTTTCTTTCCTCCTTCTGCGAACACTGTATACCACTTCAAAAACTTCTTCAAACGAGAGATTTCTGACTTCAATCATCTTCTTGGAGATCTTTTTGCGACAGGAGTAGGCTGAAATGATTTGTAAGTTACAAAAACATTGGGTTGACAAACGTTCCGCTAAAGGGGAAGCTTCAGCAACCAGCTGATTGGTCTCTGTTTCAATGGTTTCGACTTTTGAAAGCCATCTCGCCACTACAGCTAGCCGTATCCCACCCTTTCGTTCTTCGCCGTTAACTCTGCTTAACACATCATCTCTTTTTGCTTTAAGACCCCCCAAAGCATTCTCCAATTCCTCAAGATTATCTTCAAACTTGCAAATGTAACCTGACTCTGCTGTCAAGAAACTCCAAGCAGGTTCAAAACATTTTGAAAAAATGCCCGAGATAATGTCAGTCATTGTGCTCAGGATCCGGGAAAATAGATAGAAAATCAATATGAGAATAGCAAATCTTAGAATTGGAAAGACTAAAATGATTTAAGAATTGGGGAGCAGCAAAGAGGAGATCATATTTTTGTGCAGGGATCAAATTGTGTTGACTTTGAAACAAGCCAGAGGGTCTTGGCGTGGTCAACTTGGTTTAGTTACATTAACTAATTGCAACCTCCATCTATGAATAATAATTAAAATTTGGTTAATTTGACCAACAAAAATAATATATATATACGTAGTGCATGTACTATCATGATCCAATAATTTGAATAATATAGAAACATTTTTTGAACAAATAATATATAAAAACTTTCCCTTGCCCAACAACTACTACAAATTTGAACAGATCAACATGATATATACATATATACAGGGGCAGATCCAGAAACAAATTTTATATGAGGCATAATGTAAATTTAAATATAATTTTATTAATTAAAATATATTACTATCATAAAAAAACTTTACATTAGTTATGGAGTTTTAGGTCTTATTTGTAACAAAATTAAAAACTATAAAGATATAAAAAGAAACTATTAATTTATGTAAAAAAAAGAAAATTTTAGATAAAAAAAAATCAAAAAATAAAATAAAACACTTACAAATTACTAACAAACACTTATAAAAAGGTGATAAACAGATAAAATTAAGTGTTTAAAAAGAAAAAAAATACAAAAGGACACTTAAAAGGAGATGGGAAGAAAAAAATGAAGTTTTGCAAACCAAATGATCTGAATTCTATAAATAAAATATTTTTCTATTGATAATTTATTAAAGGTAGTGTGGGGCACGTGCCCCAAAACTCACAAAGATATATATATAATTTAACTCTATATATTATTTTGCATTAACCATTTGAAGAATAACAGAGGAGATAATTGAAAGTGCTTTCTGAATGATTATTAACGAAGGCAAGTACATAAATATAAAGCAGTCTTAGCGAATCTACTTTTCTAAGTGAGAGCTAATCATATTAACTATACATTGTGTGATTGGTGTAACACATGGGATTGGATCTTATCATATCGTATCCTAATACTCTTCCTCAAGCTGGAGCATGGAGGTCCAGAGTGCCGAGCTTGATCCGGAAGTCTTCAAACGATTGCCGACCCAACGGTTTAGTGAAAATGTCGACAAGTTGCTGAGTAGTAGAGACATGATGCGTTGATATAGTACCATTCTGAATTTGTTCACGAACAGAATGACAGTCTATTTCGACATGTTTTGTGCGCTCATGGAAGACATGATTTGTGCTGATATGAATCGCGGACTTGCTATCACAATACATTCCCATTGGCTGAGCATGAACGACACCAAGTGACTGAAGAACACTCTTTATAGAGACCAGCTCATCTTTGAGATAGGACAGGCTCGATATTCTGCTTCAGCTGAAGATTTGCTGACAGTGCGTTGCTTCTTGGTCTTCCAGGAAATCGGAGAGTTGCCGAGTTGAACAAAATAGCCTGTGACAGATCGCCGAGTAATGGGACAACTAGCCCAATCAGCATCGCACCAACTAGAGACCCGGAATGTGCTATCAGAATCCAAGAGAATACCTTGGCCCGGGGACCCTTTTAAATAACGGACAACACGTAATGCAGAGTGCCAATGATCCTCGCGAGGTTCTTGCATAAACTGAGCCAAAATGTGAACATTGAATGCCAGATCAGGGCGTGTAGCACTTAGATAGATGAATCTTCCAACTAATCGTCGATAAGGAGATGGATTGTCTAAGTACTTAGAGGTTGATAAAGCAAGTTGATGATGTTGCTCAAGCGGAAAGGCAGCTGGTTTGGAGCCCAACAGACCTGTTTCAGATATTATATCCAGAGTGTATTTTCTTTGACTTAAATAGAAACCCGACTTGTTTCGAGAGACCTCATTTCCCAGAAAGTACTTGAGAGGATCCAAATCCTTCATTTTGAAACAGGGGAATAGATAATCTTGGAATACCTGCAGAGCTGTCTCAGAGTTGCCTGTGAGGATCATGTCATCGACATAGATGAAGAGATTGATCTTGACATTGTCTTTGTCAAACGTGAATAAAGAATAATCAGCTAATGATTGTACAAATCCATAAGTGCGCAGAGCTGATGTAAGTTTCTCAAACCAGCAACGAGGAGCCTGCTTCAATCCATATAGTGACTTCTTTAATCTGCAGAATTTATGTTCATCTTTAGCATGGAATCCAGGTGGTGGTTTCTTATATACCTCTTCTGCAAGGTCACCATGTAAGAAAGCGTTGTGTACATCTAGCTGAGACATCGGCTATTGATTTCCTGCAGCGACTTTAAGGAACAAACGAACTGTACCTATTCGTGCTACAGGGGCGAATGTATCCCCATAATCTTCACCTTCAATATGTTGATTACCAAGAGTGACGAGCCGAGCTTTGTATTGCTCAATAGTGCCATCAGAATGATACTTGATTTTGTAGACCCATGCTGCCAATTGCTCTTTTTCCCGCAGGCAAGTCGACTAATTCCCAAGTCTCATTATCCTCCAGAGCATTAACTTCAGAGGTCATTGCTGTGTTCCATTCACTGAACCGAATAGCCATTTTGAACGATTTGGGTTCAATATTTGTTGAAATAGCTACCTGGTATGCCTGATGTGTCTGAGAGAAACGTCTGCAACTAACATAGTTGCGAATTGGGTATAGATAATTTGATCCATTCGCCGAGATAAGTCTCGTGCTTTGTACTGAGTTGAGGATAAAATCCCTCAGTTTCGCAGGTATCTCCTTAGAGCGATGACCACGACCCAAATTTGCTGGTTCTGGAGATATTTCTGGCGATGTAACGGGCGAGATTGATTCTGAAGATGAAGAATATGGCGACAAAGGAGTAGATGGTGTGGCAGCCATCGGAGATGGTGGATCCATTTCTGGATCAACATTAAATTGTGTAGAACTTGGTGAATCCGTTTCTGGGTCTGAGATTGGTAATGGGCCAGAGGGTTCAATTGAGGAAGGCCCAATAACTTCCTCTAATATCAAATTTGGGCTGATTGGAGCTCAGAGATTTGCAGATTCAGGAGAAACAGGCGTGCTTGTTGAAGCAGCGATAGTGGCAAAGGGAAATTCTGTTTCGAAGAAGACAACATCCCTCGAGGTGAAATACTCTGCTTTCTCTAGATCGTACAAGCACCATCCCTTTTTGCCATAGGGATAACCAAGAAATACACATTTGCGGCTGCGAGATTGAAACTTATCCCCTTTGTGCGATATATTATGAGCGTAGCACAATCTTCCAAAGACCCTAAGATGATCATACTCTGGAGCCTTGTTATGAAGAACCTCATATGGAGTGAGACCATTGATTGCTGAATTTGGCGTCCTGTTGATTAAGTAGCCTGCCGTCAGTATACACTGCCCCCAAAATTCTATTGGAACGTTTGATTGGAACATTAAAGCGCGAGCAACATTGAGGATGTGTCGATGCTTACGCTCAGCTTTTCCGTTTTGTTGTGGAGTTCCGAAGCAGGACGTTTAGTGAAGGATCCCTTGTTCACGAAAGTACTTTGACAAAACCATGAATTATATACCATTTTCGCTTCGAAATCGTTGCACTTTGGAGTTAAATTGCGTATTAGCCATGGCAATAAAGTTTTTTAGAAGAATCGGAGCCTCTGTTTTGTCTGTAATTAAATGCAACCAAACACTGCAAGAGAAGTCGTCAACGATGGTAAAGAAGTAACGTGCACCACTATGTGTAGGAGTTCGATACGGACCCCACAAGTTAGAATGAATCAACTCAAACGCTTTTGTTGTTTTATTAATACTTGTTGGAAAAGAAGATTGGGTTTGCTTAACACAATAACAAACATCGCACGGCTTATTGGTACTTGTAGAAACAGAAACAAAAGCATTTTTTAAGGAACCCACAATTTGAGCAGACAGATGGCCAAGCCTATGATGCCACAAGTCGTAAGCTTTTTCATCCCGAGTCGTAATGGCAGCAACCGACTCTGTTCTGCAGAAACGGAAGGTTCCAGATTCTCTTTTACCCGCTCCAATCACCATCCTCGAAACACGGTCCTGAACCACAAGAAACTGATCAGCTAATTATCCACACAAGTGTTTTCATCCATCAACTGTCTTACAGTAATCAGATCGGATTGAAGCTCTTCAACGTAAAATACAAATTTCAAAACCAGATTTGAACCCAAAACAACGGTGCCTTCTATAACCGAAAGTCTTTCTTTACCGTCAGCCAAAATGATTAAAACAGGATCCATTTCTCTAATATCTGTGAGGATATGCAGATTCCCAGTCAAATGGTGTGTAGCACCCGTATCTAGTATCCAAGAGGATGACGAATTGATAGCACCAGCATTCAGAAGACTCACCAAAGTACGCCATTGAGCATCGTTGAGACCATTAACTCCATCGCGATCTTTATTTGTCAATACATAATTGGCATGTTGTTGTTGTGAGGACGGTGGAATACGCACAGCATTGGTGTAGTTGATGTTGCGCCCACGACCACCAACCGAGGAAAGAGACGCTCCATCTCGACCTCTTCCTTGCATTGTACACCCCACCATTCTCGGTAGCTAATGACGGCAAAGCAGCTGTCAGAGGGGTGTCTTGGCGCTGACAATGCTTACACAAGACAGTTTTGGTGGAGTCATCATATCGAGATGACTATATACATGCGCGGGATTAAACTGCATATGCAGTAACTTCTAGTGTCTCTTCAAGGCGAGCTGGCGTTTTCAGATCGTCTTCTTGACGAACCACATTATAGACTTCCTCCAAAGGCTGGATAGGTGTACGAGAGACCAAAGTAGATCGTACAGTTTGATAATTTTCATCAAGTCCAAACAGGAACTCGTGAACTGTCTCTGTTTCATGATCTTGTTCATGAAGAGTACCCAAATCGCACTCACATTTGCCACATCGACAGACACGTAATGGCTTGTATTGAGCCATGTTGTCTCAAATCCGATTCAATTTGCCGTATTAGGCTTCAATGGCAAGCCCATGTTGCTTGCAGCATGCTAACTCCGCCTTGAGTTGTTGGATCCGAGGACCATTTGTCACAGAGAACCGCTTCTTCAAATGATCTTTACAACATCTCGGTGTGAGATACTGGAACGAAGTGCAGGATCAATGGTCATCTTGATCCATGATACAAGGAGGGCTTGAATCGTCCACCAATCTTCCAAGTCGGGAGAGCCATCAATGGGTGAGTAATGGATCCATCAAGAAATCCATACTTCTTTCGGGAGGACAAAGCAGTCTTCAAACCACACGCCCACTCATCATAATTTTAACCTGTGAGCAGAGGATGTGAAATCATGGCGCCAGGATTGTCAGCGGTAGTCGGGTCGTAGGGGGAGATCGTTCTCCTTACTTCCATCGTAGTCGTTTCGGTGTTCGAGGTACCACTAGTAGTGGACATCGTTCAATGAGTTCAGAAAGATTGAAAGATGGAAAAAAAAAATTCAGAGCTCTGATACCATGAAGAATAACAGAAGAGATGATTGAAAGTGCTTTCTGAATGATTATTAACGAAGGCAAGTACATGAATATAAAGCAGTCCTAGCGAATCTACTTTCCTAAGTGAAAGCTAATCATATTAACTATACATTGTGTGATTGGCGTAACATATGGGATTAGATCTTATCAGATCGTATCCTAATACCATTAGTTAATATTACTCAACACAAAGCAAACCTACAACTACATTTACTTACTCCCGTAGTTGTCTCATTTTTTTTGGTCAAATTGTTAGTTGTCTCATTTTTTATGTTCTTTATTTTGCAGGCTAACTTTATAGTCGTTTACTTTGTTAATTTAGTGTAACTTGGTGTTGAAAATTTTAGAGTAGAGGAAATGATCCGATAATACACTCAAGACTCTTTCAAACGCTTGTTCAGCTTAGAGATCTCCTTTATATAAAAGAGATAGATTTCTAAGCTTCTAAGGCTGCCACATCAGCAAAAATAATTAACCAATGATAGATTTCAAAAATGTTATGTCATCTTCTTGAACTAATAATTAAAACCATGTCACTAAATAATTTATTAATCAAAATTTTCTCAAATTTAACCTACAAAAAAAAACTTTTATAATTGTAACTTTTTGACTTATAACAGATTTCAAGTTTTTAAAGCTGATATAGAGTTCCATATTGTTCGCTGTAATCTGATATTGTGGAAAAACTGAAGTAAAAGTCTACTAAAAAAACGGTGATTAAAGACAGATACTCACCGTTTATTATTTTCATTTGCAAAAGTTCATGAAACATAAAACTGAAGAGGTTTTTTTTTAAAATAACATATAACTATAAATGCCACACTCTTCACCAATATTGACAAATGATTGAACTAGCTAAACTATCAAACAAATATTATATCAATTAATAAAGAGCTCATATAAAAGAAGTTTATTATTAATTGACATTTCTTTTCTTCATTGAATATATGAACTAATTATAAAATATTTATGTACAGACTGAATCTCAAAAACTTTGATAAGTAGAAAAATGCATACTATAAGAAGATTAAAAACAAAATCTTAAGATACAATATGAAACAAAAATGGAGTAAGGATTGAGTATTTTTTTTTTAAAAGCATCAAGTGAAAGGGAAATTATGCAAAAAGTTTTTGAAAGTATAAAAAATATTAATGGTGTTTACTAAAGAAATGACATTATAACATAAGATATCCAAATTTAGACAATAGATTTCTGATATAATATATAGTTCATGTGGATACTATTTACATTAAAAAAATATAACAAAATTACACATCAAATTATTATACAAAAATGGTCAAATTTTATCTTTCATATTTGCAAAAACATGCAATAACTCTTAAAAAAAGTTTAACTAAGCCAAAAGATACATTGATCTACCTTCAAATTATTATACAAAAATTCTGATCATCTTTTCACATATATATACATCTTTCTGATATTTACTTCACTCAATTATATTTAAGAATCACATGCAAATATACTACTCTATAATTTATCACAATATTACACAAAATTAATTAATAACTTTTTATAAAACTACAATATAATTATACAACATACGTGAAGTCAATTCACTAGTATTAATAAACAGAAGTAGAAGACACATACCCTCGATCCCAAACCAAACACAGTACTCCAATTCCAAGTCAAGTTGGCGGATTAAAAAACATTGGTCCAGCTTAAGCTTGACGTTGAATTGGGAATTTAGAGCTATCGAAATTCTCAATGTGGGGGAAGCGTTCCTTGGGAATGGCGGATCATCCTTTGTAATAATATCTGGGAGAGTATTTGATGTTAATTTGGTTCGATTTGAGACAGTTATTTAGACCAGTTCGGTTTAACTCGGTTATTAAGATCGATCAGTCCCGAATTCTGCAATACAATTAGGGTGGGACAGATTATGTAGAGAAGTTGTTAGGGTGGGCATTTCGGTTTACTTATGGTTTTGATTCGGGTTCGATTCGATTAGTTTGGTTATACCAAAATTCTAACAGAACTCAACTAAAATTAATTCGGTTTGACTTCGGTTCGGTTTAAATATAGTTTGGTTTGATTTGTTTAGTTTGGTTAACATTTAATAGTTTGCAAAAAAAAACTTTGCGTAACTACTAAATATAACGTCAAAATCAAAATAAAAATGTAAACAAAACTCGTAAAACTAAAAAAAACTCCAATTCAAAATCATACCCAACTAACAAGAAAGCCAAAACACCCAATTTCATCATATCATAGTATATATCTTGCCTCTACAGCCTGAAAAAACCTGCAACAAATTAAAATCAACACAAATTTAAACAAAAACAAAACTAGAAATTTAATAATTAATAATTAAGAAAACATATTGATTTTTGGTTTGGTTTGGTTTAAAACTGAACCGAACCGAACCAGTCGGAAATCCCAACCAAAATATTTTGATACAGACTTCGGTTCGGTTTGACTCGGTTTGAGTTTAGTTGATTTGGGTTAATTCACTTCGGTTGAATTTTTTTTGCCCACCCTATTATACTGAAGAGAATGTTAAAAAAAATGGAAATAAGTATATACACATTACATGGAAATAAGTATATACACAGACTCGAACCACTTGATTTTTTTTTGTCAGTTCGGTTTGAACCGGTTAATAAAAATCAGCGGTACAATTGGAGTGGGAAGAATCATCATCACCATCAACAACGTTGTAATAGAGAGAGGAAGGTCTGCCATCAAAAGTAGAGACAAGTCGATGAGGAGAAAGACCACAGTAACGATGTCTCAATCTCGCCTCACAGATTTCAATAACTCTCTTAAACATTTTGTCTCCTTTTATCTTCGGCTGCTCCACAAACTCCACCAATGGCATCCACTAAAAACACACAGAAACAATCATCTTATGATTTAGGACGAAGAACGGACTATCTTGTGCAAAGATCTAGTTATGATAATCACCTTCGCGGCTTTGATCTCAAGATTGTCGATGATGATCTTATCAGAGAGTGGCTTCAACATACAGATGAAGAACAGATCAGATTTCTCAAACGCAACGTTGTGAGCATGTCTGAAAGCTATAACCTCTAAGAACTCTGAATCTACCTGAAGAACACAATGCCAATGTATATGGTTATTATCTTGCGGATTCTCAAATTGAAATTCAAGATTTATAATACTAATGTTCTTTGATTTTATTACCCCTGTTTCTTCCTTGACTTCTCTTACAGCACCAGTGAAAATCTCTTCTGACTCGTTAATAAATCCAGTTGGTAATTTCCATAGACCTGTATTCGATGAAGTACAATACTTTTCTTGCACCACAAGCACCTAATGGGTCCAAAATTTATCAGAATTTTGATGAATTTCAAGTTATTCGATTCGGTTTTATTCGGTTACATTTAATCATCATTCATATATTTCATACCTCTTTATGTTGGTTCAGTACAAAGCCTCCAACACCAACTTGATGTGAAGCATTTGCAGGAAGCATACAAGGCTCTTCCTCTGGTATCCAATAAGTTAACATCACATATCCTTTCTCTGCATGATGATACTCAAATCCTTGCTGCAAAATCCCAACTTATCCTTGATTTACATTTTAAAACAAATTTCTCTGCTTAATCTCAAACAGGACAAATCCAATTTCGTATTGTTTTACCTTTACAGCAATTGGAACTAATTCTGATTGTTCCACAGGTAACTTCAACCAAACTCCCTTCTTTCCCTACAACAAATTTCCCCCAAAATTGACAGATTAATAAAATGATAATGACTTTTTAGGAAAGGTGTTTTAGATTTTCTGGATTTTTAGTTTTACCTTTCTTCTCCAATCCGAGAGAGAATTTCGAAGCATTGAAGCGAAAGCGCTTGGATTTGATGGTAACTTTCCATGATCAACTACCACTCCACCATACTCATCATCACAAGCATCAAGTAATAATCTTTCTTTAACAGAACTCATCAATGTTCTGTTTTTTAGGTTTACTCCATTCATCTTATAACCTGAATCTGCAGTTGTAGCTAAGCTTTCTCCACAAACAAATTGGCTCTTTGTGTTGGAAACACTTGAAGATATTGCCCTTGATCCTTCATCTTCTCATCCAAAAACCCAAAAAAAAAGAGTAAAACAAAAATCAAAATAAGTGGAATGTATCTTGTTGTGAAGAGAAAGTGGTTGTAAGGTATTAATTATTACCTTTGGAGATGCAGAACATTGGAGATATTGTAACACCAGAAAATGGTTGTCTGAAATTGTGCATAAACCCCAAATATTTTCTGTTAATTACAGTAACCTCGGAAAGAGAAACAGAATCCATTGGAGATCAAGAAAATCTTGATGAGTTCCTCTCTGTGAAAAAGAAAACAGTTTTCCAAGAATGATTATTGATTAAAGAACTCAGATTTTGTTTCCTATCTTAAATAAGAATGAAAAGGAGCGAGGGAGGCAAATGAAGAAGAAAGAGAAATGTGTTGTGAGGTTATTGAGAGATTTTTTGAGGGCACACTTATAATGTGTGGTGTAAAGTCGAGTGGTTAAGTGAGAAATGAGAAAAGGAAAGAGAGGAACAGTTTCAATATCTTGCATCAAAGACAAAATACACGTGAATTGTTTGAGCTGCGATTTCAACCGACCAGATCAAACCAGCGTAAGATATTTTTTAAAAATATTAGGATGATTTACATAGATGTATATTGTCTGTGTCTACCTTTCGTAGTCAATGGTGTTTACAGACTTTATACACTTGTCAAAAATCGATCTAATATCTAAAATATACCGTATATACTTTCGAATATCAATTTTGTAAATGTTATCTAGATTCTATTTAGTCAATGATGACTCATGACCTATCTAGTCCATAAGTGTTCCAAAAAACTCCAAACTATTTGAAAATGATGACTCACGAGTCATGACCTAGTCCATAAGTATTCCAATGGTTTTGGATGTAAACCGACGTGATAGTGCGTGCCATGGTTTTTTTTTTTATAAAAAGAGTAGTACCAAGTACTAAGAAAATTGCAGGAAAAAGGAATCAAAAGTTTGGTATCAGAGAATCTTTACAATTCCAAGAGAGTTGTCTCTACGAAAGAATCTTCAGGAGTTACAATATGGATAAACGGATACTTTCTCCATTTCATTTTAACTGTCGTTTTACATGATTTCACACAGATTAAGAAAACAATTAATTTTCTGTTTTATTCTTAATTAATATATTAATTTATTTGATAAGAGTAGTTAATAAACTAAGAAAGTAGGAATAAAACTGAAAAATTTATCATAAACCTGTATTAAAAACTGAAAACAACAATTATTTTAAAACAAAAAAAAATAAGTCTAAAACGACAATAAAAAAAAAAGGAGAGTATATCTTAATGATTCCTCTATTATTGTTGGAAGGTTTCTCTTCTCCACGCTCACTGCAATCCGGTGCGTTGATCAATGGGAGCGTATGGCTCACGCAATAATCGAGGAGAGTCGGATAATAAAACATCGGGTTGTTGCTGGACATGACCCTTGGTGGGTTAGATTCCTTGGCCTTTTTGTTTTGTATCAGCAAATTGATAATTCATTTGGATTATTAATTTGTTCGCACCTTGGATAATGAATATAAATATACAATTAGGATTATAAACTCGTTATCCAGTGTATATAGTTCTTTTGATATCGATGACATTTCACTCGATTGCTTTTTGCTATATACATATTAAGATTTACTTATTCTAATCACGATAGCTAGAGGCATAAATTGTGACCCCAGATATAGTCGTTGTGGGGCAGAAAATGAAACTATAAACCATACTTTTTTCGACTGTTCTCCGACTTTTCAGGTGTAGGTGCTTTCGCTAATACCTACATCGTTACATCGTTTCTCAACGGAAGCATTGTATTCAAATATAGCACATTTGTTTTGGAATTTGCTAGACCAGGAGGATATGATGATGTATCATTGGCTATTATGGTACATTTGGAAGATGAAGAATGACAAAAATTTTAAAAACATTGATCGGGACTCCAAGATGTTGTTAAGACGGCAACGGCAGAAGCAAATGCCTGGGCCGAAGCGCAGAAAAAAGAATTAACGGGTGAAGTTTCACAACCATGTCAAAACGAGAATTATCCCAGGGGGGTATTCTCTGTTTCACTGATGGTTCATGGAAAGAGGAAACCCCAAACACAGGGTTAGGCTGGTTTAGTGAAGATGCAAATATGTCGAGTACATTAATAGGTGCCCGAAAATTGGGTAAGAGTTTGACACCGCTACACACAGAGCTAAAGACACTTATTTGGGCAATGCATTATATGCTAGATGCTGGAAGATATGCAGTATCTTTTTTTACGGATAGTTTGGAATTATTGAAGATGGTGTATGATCCAGAAGGATGGCCAGCATTCTCATTACATTTAGAGGAATATGAAGTGACTAGACAGGAGTTTGTTCAATTCTCTATCTCAAATATATTACGCGCGCAGAACACGAAGGCAGACAAGTTAGCACGAAGTGCTCGAGATCATTTTTTTTATTTTCATTATGTAAACTCAACACCTCCTACATGGTTAACACCATTTTAGGATGTATGTTGAGGCTGTCGACAAAAAAAAAAAAAAAAATCACTATAATGATGTATGTTTTTACCATAAAATACATATAAATAGCAATGAGATATGGGTGGAAAAAGAAAACAGTGATGAGATCTGTATGCTTTTTTGTCCACTAAAATGATGAGGTAGTAGAATTAGGTTTGCGTTACTAGAATTGATGATATTGGTTATGGAAAGATGATGACGTTTGGAAAAATGAATGAAATGCAATAATTGGAAATTATGGAAGATTAGGTAATGTCCACGTAGGATAATTAGGTAACCTGATGTGCATGATGATTCACGTCCATGATAACATTTTGTCTTTTTCATTACAATTTTAGTATGTTTGGATAACGATGCAGATCATCACATGATTCATGGTAAGTTTAAATAAAATAAAATTATGTTACACATGATAACATATGGTTGGTTTAAAAATAACATTGAGGACACAAATATTTTAAGTTTCCACAAATAATAAACAATCTTTTTATAAATTACAAAACTGTAAATTCTCTACAAATTAGATATTCAAAATGCTAATTAAAATAAAAATTATAAAAAAAGAAGGAAATTGCATCCAAAACCGGCTCTGAATCCAAACAGACTAAGCATGAACTTATTAACCTTATTTTTATATTAAAAAAATTGTAAAAAAAAATAAAAACAGCCATTTCTTTTTATATATATAGATTGCAGTTTTCACTATTTTCTAAATTTCAAGACCGACTCTGACTGCATCCCTAAAAGCATTGAAGTTCTTTAAAAAAAAAAAATTGCTAATGTCCACACCTTAAATGGAGTAAATAATTTGTTTAGTGGCCTAAGCAAAACCCTGCACAAAATTTATTTACTTTATTGACAAAATTCTTAAGAAACTGATGTTATTGTATTACGAAACGTCACTATACCATTTTTGTTTAGTTATATAGTTCATCTAGCGTTATAAGAAACAATTTCACCAAAAGAATTTGGGTCAAGCTTAACTGTCGTTTTTCAAATATTCTAGCAAAATGTTCGTCTGGGATATTTAACTTTTGTTTTTGTTGATAACTGAAAAAAAAGTATACTACTTTCTAGAGTTTATGACTATTTAAAACTGACATTGCAATAAACAAAATTTGTGTTTCAAACTATCAACTAATTACTCCATCATATGTGTCTCGATGTAATAGATAGGTTGGTGTAGAACCTAAGAATTCACATATGACGTATTCAAAGTTTAAGTTTACATGGATTTATGAATAAAAAAACAAGGCCCATTAGTGGAAGCCATGAGTTAGCGTACTAATCTATCACAAGACCCAACAAAATTCTTCGTTTTATTATAGGGATAGAGAAACAGATTAAATGAATCTTCCGCTCCAACGTTCATCGTCGCTAGTTAAATTCAAATCGAAATTACTAAAACACATAGAGATTTCGCCGTGCAAGAAATATTCTTCTGGTTCTGGATACACATGGCTTTCACTTTCGTCATGTAATTTACTAATTACGCAGAGGTCTACCCACGTGTGACTGCGACGTCGTTTTGACCCAGCTTATCCAATATCCCAATATTTTATCCCAAGAGAAACTGAGTCCACTCATCAAATTAACTAGTACTTATTTGATTAATTAATTGTTCGGACAGAACCATGGTCATGCATTTATTGTGTCTACAAATCTACATTCGCCGGTCAAATTCAGAAGTTTGAATTGTAAATTATTTTTTGCAGGTTCTAGCTAAACTCTTTAATGTGAATACTGAATAGCATTAACTGATACTACTAGTTTAATACTTTTTGGGTTGAATTATTCCGATTTCTTCTAGTATAAAATAAAGCAAAACTCGATCATCCGGATCATCATTGAATGAAATAATGTAGTAGTTTGAAAAAGAATGAACAAATAGCAGCAATAAGCCAAAAATATGAACACTGTATTGGCGTATATGCTTTTTTTTAATCGCATGCACCTACGTGTACTAGAAGTCCACGTCAGCATGCAACACCGCCAACACTAAAAAAAGAGATAAACAAAAAAATCAAACAACGGTCAACTGTGAATAACCAAACGATGGATGAGGAGATAACGGCGACAGTAGCGGAAAGTTAAGAAACCCCGTTATGTCCCAGTCGCATATCTCCGTTAAATTTGACGTTCCAAACGGAAAAGTCTCCCCACCGTTAACGTTATGTTCCGTCTTCAACACTTTCTCTACAACAACAGTCACATCCTCGCCGTCAGTTTCGTCTCTCTTCCGTTTCTTCTCGCCGTCGTCGGAGCGCGGTTTCCACTTCCCAACCTCGAGCGGGAAATTTAAAATCGCTTTCGATCCTCGAAGTCTAAACGCTGCTTCGTCGTAAGCTCTAGCCGCTTCAATCGCGGTATCAAACGTCCCGAGCCAAATGCGAGATCCGCGTTTATT